TTAGTACGGACACACAGGAAACCTCCCCTACATTTTAACATTTTATATTTCTTTGCTTTTGAATGTTTGAATGGTTCTGCTGAGTCTGACTGACCAACTGGAACTGATGTTGCTGAGTCAGCAGAAGCAGAGTGTTTGTGTCCCATTTTGAACATTGCAGTGTTAGATGTATATGTTTGGTACATCCATTCAAAGTATTAGTAGTATTATTAAACTAAGAGTAGATCAAATGTGATGCACTCGTCCAAAGTATGTTGAGGAGAACTGGACTGTATTAGTTGCCCTTCACCTTACTGCTTTGGATAAGAACCTACGTAGGCCAGTACTGCACTGCTATCAGCATCTGCAGCTCCTTGAGGTTCAAGTATGAGTACCTGCGGTCAGTCCAAGTTGAAGTACCAGTATCTTTGAGGATGGTTTGGAGCCATCCCAAATATGCATCATTGTGTGAATGCGTGTGTGTCCACATTAAAGGATATCCACCAGACAATACAGGAGTCGGTGAAGGCCAACACGATGTCACACAACACTCTGGTGTGGGTGTTGTCTCCTCGATCCTGGAGGAAATAAACACAAAATAAACACAAGACACAAGACCTGTCATGAAATACACACACATACGTCCACACACTTGGAGACTTACAGTGTTGACACGCAGAGTGCCCTCGATGACAGAGAACATCAGGTAGAGCATACCAACTCCAACCACTCGGTGAAGTAGAGCGCCGAGTCTTGGCCTGAGGCGGGGGAGAGTTCCAGTCAATGTCAGTGGATTTCTTCAGTCATGTGACCTTTACTCACAGACTGTGTATGATCATTGGGTGGAGCGACAGGAGAGGGACTTTGAAGACTCACTTGACGATACCGTATCCCAGACTAGCGATGATCACCAGGACCCGGGCGAGTGTCCTCTTGACGGCAGAGAGAACTTCAGCAAACACCACTGCACCATGAACTGAGGGAGGACACGGGACACGGGTTCTGATCCTCACACTGTAAATGTGTGTGTGTGTGTGTGTGTGCTTGTGTGTGACTGACACTCACCTGACAGCCCATCATATCTGATGCTCTGGAATTCTGCATAGTAGACAGCTTTCTCCAACATTCCCAGGAAGATAACTCCACCAATCCAAAACTGGATCCTGAGCAGGTCCCTCCAGTACCGGGCCGACAGAACCAGCCACAGAACAGCCAGTAACACGTAGATGATGCACATCACCATGTAGAACTGAGCAGAACAGAACAGTTACCAGGGATTCTCATAAGGTGAGGAGTTGAGGTACATGAGGTTCTTCTGACACTAGTGACACCTACTGGACACTCTGTGGTTTATTTTCTTAGTTCATTGCATCTTGTTATATTACGTTTAGTCCAACAGAATGAGCTAGGCTAAATATATAAAAGTACAAAGTTCTTACCACCATCAGGGGCCACTCAGACGCAGATATGTAGTCATGGGAACCTCTCATGCTAATTTGCACTGCAAACACACACACAGAGAAAGACATACACACAAACATGAGGTGTGTTTGTCTACCTGTGTAAACTACAGAGGGTAGACTTTGGTTTTCAGCAGACCTTTAGGAGATCAACTCTATAAAACACAGTTCTCAGTTCTACAGCAAACAGCATTAGCATCAATAGAAAGGTCAAAGGTTAAACCTCCTGTATAATCATGGTGTGTGTTTCTGTGAACTGACTGTGTATACTCCAGGGTGCGGCACTGTTGGCAGTGTCAGTCGTGGTCTGGCTTTTCTCTTTGACCTCTCTGACATATAGGATGAACATATACGGTCCGTCCTCCCAACTTTTAGCCACCGCAGCAAAATGAGGTGCTGCCTGATCAGCCATTGGATGGAGAAGTGGAGAGAGAGAAAGAGAGGGATGGAAATAAACACAACAAACCAGCAACCTCCTGCAGCAGTGAGTTACATGTGCTCATTTTCTCACCTCAACCTTTCCTGTCTGTGCTGCAGCTGCATCCTGAGAGAGAGAGAGAGAGAGAGGAAAAACAGAGAGAGAGAGAGAGAGAGAATCAGTCTGTTTTCACACTCAAACTGTGTTGATGACTCTGGACCAGGACATGGCCAAGACATTTGAATGTTGTTTTCAGTGAAGTTCATCTCAGTCTACTTTGAACAGCATCTTCTTAATCTGATCTCAGACTCAGTGATCCATGGTACTGAGATCAGGTGTCTGTGGAGACCATACCATCACATTAGGACAGCTGATGTCCTCTGTCCAGCAGGGGGTTCTTACTGGTAGCTGCTGCTTGTTTAGGCTTGTTGTCCTGATGCAGAATAGGTGTGGTCCAATCACAAGTCTGACTGGTGGTGTCACATGATGGATACATCATCGACCACACTTTTGCTCCTGAACAAATCCTTAACTCCATTTACAGGAATTTAAACTTTCTAAAGCTCCCACTGCTTCCCTGTTACCCGACAACACTTCTTTGTTTATATATTTATCTGTAGCTTTAAGCGACAAGATAAAAATGGAAGGTCAAGGTGAAAATGTTTTGTTTTCAAGTGAATTTCTTGGTCTCCACTGTTCACTGATAAAAACAGTTAACACATCAGTGTGTACTACAATTCTACTGCATCTTCTGCTCTACTGTTGTTTCTTGCTGTGTATCTGTTAATGTACACGTGCAGACCTTTGGCTGTGGAGGCTGCACCTCCCTTCTTCTTCTCACACCATCACCAGCTACACCAGCAGAGACCTCCTTGACTGTGACGGGCTGAAAACAGAAATACATACATTTTACATTTCACAGAAACGGATCCATCCATCCATCCACTGATCCATCCACCCATCCACTGATCCATCCATCCATCCACCCATCCATCCACACCTGTTGCTGTGTCAGCTCCGTCAGTTGTGTTTTCTCATCAAATGTCTCGAGGCTGAACTGTGAGGACAAACCAAACACACACACAAATTAAACAACTATAACATACGCTGTGTGTCATTGTTTGAAATGGTGTGTGTGTGTGTGAGACTCGGACCATGTCAGGTTTAATGTGTGGCTGACAGGACAGAACAGGATACTGGTGGTAGACGTAGAACCCACTCCCTCCTCCTGACATTACCTCAGTCGACCTGAAGTAATTTGCTGCCCTGGTCGCCTGAGGACAAAAATACAAAACATTTACACAACCAACAAAAACACCAAAAAAAAGAGAACTAGTTCTTGAAAAAACACAGACTGCTTCATTTTGAGCTGTTTTTCACTTGGGCTTTTTAAATTCTTTATCATTTTAAACATTCAGTCACCACAAAACTGGACACATCATTACAGTGTCAAGTGTCTTACGTCCAGACTGAAGACCTCATCGTAGCAGTGGGAGTTCCTCAAATACCAGGAGATGTTCAGGCTGATGGGAGCTGAGGAGTTACAGGTCTCTGACAAGACTGAGACACGAACACAGACAGATAGATAGACCGACAGATCGACAGACAGAGAGACAGACAGACAGACAGAAAGACAGACAGAAAGACAGACAGACAGGCACATGTTTCAAGTTAAAATACAATCAGAACAGTACAATGGGTCAAGATACTACATATGACACTGTCTGTTTAGTCAGAGGTGACCAAACACTGGGCCTGGACCGGTGCAGGACCATGGGTCACTGATTTCCAGGCTACAGAAAAACAATTATTTTTAAAAAAAATTATCTCATTTCCATGTGTACTTTCTGACAGGTGAGGACACTTGCCTCAGTCATGTGACCTAAAGCCATCAGCCCTGTGAGAATAAGTTGAAAACAAACGGAGAGCTTCTTATAAAAGACTGGAGATGATGCCACGTTAAGGTTGGAGACCTGTGTTACAGATGACCTATGACCTCTGAGCTCAGTCAGTTCACCCAATAACAACATCAAATACCAGTTTCTCTCTACAGAGAGAATGCTGTAATTCCTGTTTTGTCACTTCATATTTATTTTTATTTCTGGTCCTGAAACAGGTTGAGCAACAGGCCTCCCACACCTCTTCCTCCTCTCTGTCCCTGACACCAAGTGACTAAAAAAAAACTGAACTGTGGTTTATTAATCCTGTCATTACAGAAACAACATCGAGAAGATGAACTTCTGACCATTACTCTTTTCAGTGACCTTTGACCCCACAAGTTGACATTTATATTCCTAAAAACATCATTTCATTGAAGAATAAAACTTGTGTATTATTTTACCTTTTGTGTCTTTTGCGTTTGTTTCCACCTAAATATATTACTATGAATGAACTGTAATTAAATAAATTTTAAACAAACTAAACTTACTGCTGAAAATCAAACGTAACCTCACATTAATTCCTTGATCTAATCATAGGAGATAGATAACTAAAGAGTGAGTTCTTACCACTTAATAAAATTAAAGCCAAAACAAAGACAGAGACCAGCATTCGACAGGATGCACTCACGTTTGACCTGGATGAAGGTGTTGTTGAAGAGAGTTTTTGTGAAGTAGAAGTAGTTCTGTCTCTTTAATATTTCCTGCAAGGAAAACAAACTGTGGTGAGATTTACAATCACATTAAAGATCTTTTCATTCATGTATTTATGACAATAATCAGGGATGGTGAAAAGTACAGACAAAGAAACACTGGTTTGGTTATGTAAGAACTAACTTCCAAAACAAATGAGTTTCTTGCATTTTTAGACTGAAAAGTGTTGTTTTTTATTCCAACCACTGTATATGTAACTTAAGTGATGCATTGTGGACATAATATTTGAGCACACCCAACAGTCCTGAATATAAATGTGTTTAAAAGGTTTAATCAACTGCTGGAAGGAAGGAGCAAGGAGGAGAAAAATGAGAAGCATGTGTCAGGACGAGGACAAAGGATGTTTGGAATATGATCCAGGATTTATTCCCAGGATTTATTCCCATGTTATTATGTGTGTATATATGTAAATTAGACATACTTATGAACTGTGTGTGTTGCTCTACTTTGTATAATTCCATGAATCCATATAACACAACACAACACGCCCCTAATTCAGACCCCATGTCAACACACAACAACACTGACCCACATTTATTCGTGCTGTTTTACACATACGTTTGAAAATAAAAGAACATGTAAATATTTGGTTTCTGTGTCTGATTTCTCATTTCACAAACGGTTCAACGTGGATTCACCGCTGACGTTGTTTACTTCCGGTATATCTGCCGTTATTAAAAAACATCCGCGCTGTGTAACAACAAAACTGTAAACCAGACCCGTATTTTTTCACTCACATCCATCCACGTACAGATTCAAGGCATCTAACAGAATCACGTCCTCATAGAACAGTACAGTACCAGAGAACCATAGTCCACACAACAGAACACTCACACTGTCCAGGTTTAGCGTCCATTTCCCAGATTCCGACACGGCACTGACCGGGGCCTTCAGCCCCGCCAGCAGCAGAAGGAGCACCGGCAAAGACCAGAGGCTCGAGACGGTCCAACACGGAGCCATAGAGCCCGTCACTAGAACCGAGACCTGGGAGAGAAGCAGCTATAGAGCCACAAACACAGCCTACTAGTGATGTGTCGTTCGCGAGTGATTCGTTCAAAATGAACGAATCTTTCATATGACCCGTGACTCCCGAGTCATATGAAAGATTCGTGACTCGTGACTACCGAGTCATATTAAATATTTGTTCATATTGAACTCATGAATCACTCACAAATCACTCACTGCGAACAAATCACTCTCTGTGAACTAATCGTGAACTAATCTTTCACTGTGAATGAATCACTCTCTGTGAACTAATCTTTCACTGTGAACTAATCTTTCATTGCAAACGAATCACTCTCTGTGAACTAATCTTTCGCTTCGTTCTCGCAGATTCGTTTCATTTGTCACGCGAAAGAGCTCGGGTCTTTTTGCTCTCATTCATCTTCACATTGTGGTGTGTTTTTACTTCTGAGCTTTTCGCATGGTTTTAATTGCTTATGGCATTTTGTGTACTTTGTAGACTTTATCAGCGGAAGCAAACCATGTTGTCTTCAGTATTTAATGTCGGAGAACCGCAGCCTTCTTTACATCGCCCAGAATAGGGCTAAAGCGCTACCTGCTGTAAAACGAATGAAATTATTAGTTCAAGATTCGTTCACGACTCGTTCATTTTACTGTTCGAGAGTCAAAGATTCAAATCAATAAAAAGAATCTTCCCATCACTAATACCATCACCGGAACGGGAAGTATTACCACTTCCTTCCGCTTTAAAGTTACAGATGCGCCTCGTTATCCAATCACAAGCGTCCTGCACGACATCCATGATCCACTAGGTGGTAGTACAGGCTCATTAGTTTGTCAATGAGTAGGTACATACGATCACTGCACACTATTGTCAGTGCAGCTCAAGAAAAAAAATTCCAGCAACTCTTATTTGCAACTTATGCTGCAAATACTGAGTTGCATGCATTTATATCGTTATTTTATTTTTTAAATTGGGTTTTCTTCCGTCGAAAGAGATATATTTTATTCATTTTCCACAAGGGCAGTTTAGCGTAGGAACACATTTTATGATGAAATCTTGTCTGGTAATGGGGTTGGTTGTTCGGTTAGCTGCGCCAACAACGAGGTCCGGCCATTAGGTTGTATGCACGATTCGTCCTCCGGTGGCTCAAACGTGCAACTGCATATATAAACAAGTTCCATCCAAAAGGTCGTCTGCTCTGTGTGGATCTATGTTTGAGCCAATTGGTTTTCGCCCTCTAAGACGTGCAACTTCACTCATCAACGTATTGGCCGGACTTCGTTGTTGGCGGAGCTAACCGCAAACTGCTAAGACCGCAGGACTAAACACACGGTAGCAGGTTAACATGCCGCCAAAAAAGTTTGAGAAAAAAACTAAAGCACTGGTGTCCACAAATGGCTGAATATTTTATAAAACTGCTTCATTATGTAGTTATGTAAGTTATCTTTGCCTTCGTGACATCCACACACACACAACCGACGACGACGAAATGTTTGTTTGAAAAACAGGAGCGCACATTTCCGGTATAATTTAAAAGCTCTCGCTACACGTACGGAAACCAGAAGAGGAAATGACGTAAATTGATTAATGTGAAATAATTTGTAGATCTGTGTGTACAAAAGTTAAAACAGATTTCTTAATCATTAATAAATTAATTAATATATTAATAGATGAAATAATAAATAAAACAGAAATACATAGAGAACACGAGAAGATCCTTAATAACATTTTAGATCTTCAATCACATCCATCCACTAGGTAGTAGGTTTCAGGTGCAAATTCTATATATTGAATTTTTAATTTGCATGCAGTCAACTCCGTGACATAAACAACACAAATTAAAGTAGTATATGGATTCCCGGTGACGTCAGACGACATAGCAGTACACAATGAACCACACCAATCAACCGTAAGTATTAAATATATGTACTTAGTGATAGCTTCATTTTAATATAACACGTATATAATAACAACAACAATACTAATACTAATAAACAGGGAGTGGTTTGGACCAGTCGTTGGTCTGACAGAGCCTGTGTGGACAGCTGTCATTGGTTAAGCAGCATGTCTGTCCTGTGAGTGTGTGTCAGTGTGTGTGACAGAGCGCCGCCTGTCTCTCAGTAACAGGACCAGATAAGAGTGTGGGCAGCAGCATGGGCTCCAGCAGCAGCAGCAGCTACATGAGAAACATCCCACAAGCCCAGGTGCTCATTCATGAAACTGGCTGTGAGTTTGGTTGTTTATTATTTTATTGTGTTTTATATTCATTATTACTGTTTTATTGTTAGTCGTTTCTTCTGGCACTTTCTTCTCACTATCTTGTTTAGTTCTAACAGTGTGTGTATGTGTGTGTGGGTTTCTCGCAGCTGTTTATCTCAGCTTGTGTGTTCAACACCCTGATCTGTTCACACTGATACAGTGACTCAAATCCCATTGTTACAAACATGCACACTTAATTATCTGGGTTTTCATCCTCCAACCCTGCTGCTAAAAATAAAGTGGAAGAAAAAGAGGGAAATGTAGAAGAAGAAGTGGAAGAAAAAGAATCAGTGGAAGAAGGCACAGTTTTTCTCTGACATTCTCTGTTTCTGTACTTCAGTTTTGTCTAGGCTTTATCATCAAGTGTCTGACACACACACACTGATGCTGCATTCACGGTTCCTCAGACACTTCAGCATCATCATCTCAGCAACAACAGCCAGTTTCATGAACCTCATCTTCTGTTTGTTTGTTGACCTCAGTCTCAGCTGCTCACCTCCTCCGTCTGTATGAGAGGTTCCAGTTCTTGGACAAAGGCTCCACCGGAGAGCTGCGGTTGGTTTTCTGCACATCCTGGTTGTTTAAGCAAATAACGTAGACTTTTTATTGACCTTTGTCTCCCTGTCTCTGTTGTCCTTGGTTCTGTCCACTTCACAGAGCTCAGGATTTTACAGCCATCCCATCATTGGCCTTGAACCCCATTGGGGACAGAATCATCGGTTCCTTCTTTCCTCCAGGGTGAAGCAGCACTCCGTTTAAAATAACCAATTAAACCATAAAACCATCGACTGACAGTTGGTGTTGATACAAAGAAAGAGATACTCGTTGATTAAACTGTTGTTGTTAAAAAACACCTAAGTCAGAGAACCACCTGACAAATATCAGTGGTCAAAATCATCAGAATATTAAAATCATTTTGACCTGCACACTTCTTCACAAACATGAAGTCACATCACGTTTTATCCAATTGAGATTCATTTTGATTTAGACTGTGTGTAAGACTTCATGTTAAAGCAGCAGCTTTGAGAGTTATCAGTTTGTTCTAAACAGGAAACTGGGAACATTTCCACGTCCTCTCTCTCTTTTCACAGACAGGAAAAACTGGACTTTCCCTCCTTTGTTCGAATTATGGCTCATTTCCGTCCTACTGATCCGAACCGCAGCAGAGACGGAACACAGCTGGAGCCAGTCAACAGCAGAAACAAGAAACTGAGATGTGAGGGTAAAGTTAACGACTGACCTCTGACCTGTAACCACTGGATACTCCTTCACGCTCTGTGTGTGTGTGTGTGTGTGTTTGCTTCTAGTTGCCTTCCAGTTGTACGATCAGAATGGGGATGGAAACATTTCGAGAGCAGAACTTCTCCAGGTTGGTACTTGGCTTACACACTGAATACATGCTGCTTAATGCTGATTAGTGGACCACTGTGACGGGCAGGTGCTACGGGCTATGCTGGGGGTTCAAGTGCCAGAGGAGCAGCTGCAGAGCATTGCTGAACGAGCAATCCAGGAAGCAGACCTGGACAAAGACAACGTCATCTCCTTCGATGAGTTCAGGAAGGTGAGACCAGCAGGAGAGGGAAAACACAGGGAAATATTCACCTGTTGAAAGTCCTGTTGTTACCTGTTGAAAGTATGTTACTGTACAGTAGTAATAAACCAATCAGAGAAGGAAATACGCTAATCAAAAAAAATAAATATATATATAGACCTATATATACAGTATGTACAAGATTGAATTGCTGAAAACTAAAAATGCATTTTTTTCAGTCACTAGAGAAAGTGAACATCGATCAATTGATGAGCATTCGCTTTCTGAAATAAATGCTGACGTCATCGGTGTCAACGTTTGAAAGAGAGCGAGAGAACGAGAAAGACGGAGAAAGAAAGAAAGAAAAAAGTAAGTAAAGCAGGTTCAGTCATTCAATACACCTGCAAGCCAACAGAGGGCGACGGAGAACCATAACATTCTGCAGGAATGTCTTTCCGGAGAAAGTGAATGCACAACGACAAATAAAACTTAAGAAACTGCGACCAAAAGTAAGAGGTGATTTTTTTTATTATTTGAAATCAAAGCCTCGCCGGGTCTGTGGGTCCAGAACACGACAGCAGGGTTGGTCCAGTCTTTTAGAACCAACCAAGTTGAAGTTCGTTCATAAGAAACAGGAAGCTGCTGCAAAACTGTGAACTTTGGTTTTTGGTCATGTCAGGTCTTGAACTGCATTCACCCTGGGAGCTCCCAGATTGATTGATGATAGATTATTTTGTCTTTTTTTTTTATCATTATATTTTGAAGCAACGTTAGCAATCTTACAACAGGTGTTTGACAGTTTCTTGGTTACAGAGTTCCAGCTCTGTGTGGTTTGATGACGTGTCCGTTACTTTAACCCTGTGGTTAACTAACGTAAACAAAACACTTTTAGTGTATTTTAGTATTAGAGTAGTATTTAAGTATTTAAAGCAAAATTGAAACGATACTCCCAGAACACGTAACTGTGGAGAGAGGCAGTCTGTTAACGGACCACCACAGACTTTGAATAAAAGACTCTACAGTACTGCCCCCTGCTGGGAGCGACGTCTCTGCCTACAAAACACAGTACACTGCGGTATTTATTCTGAGCGTATTTTTATTGACAATATTTGAAGAGTTAAGAGATTAACAGTTAATCTCTAAAAGTAACGCATTTTAAATGTTCAGTGTTCAGAGAAAAACGAATCCATTTTAGAATAAACATTGGTGTTAAACTGAGTTACAGTCACGTTGTCTACACCTTCTTCTGAGGCATCGCTGCAGTGCACAGCGAGTAGAGGGAGTAGCAGGTTCCTGCAGACACACACACATAATAATGTATATCAAGTGCCTACAGCTGTGTCTCAGGACAAATACACGCATCACTAAAAACGTTAAAGCTAAGTTCACTTTAAAGCAGTACTTCTCAAATAGTGGGGCTCGGTGAGGAGCAGGGGAGGGGCGTAAGGGGCTTCCAGTGGAATATGGCACACTGGACATACTTAAATCAGGGGCAGCACTGCTTGAAGGAACATGTGGATCTGTGTTACCTGCAATGGTCAGAGTCATGGTGACCCGGTACATCAGCAGATCAAATGTTCCTCCCTTCAGGTGGACAGGGTGTCCGTTGTCCTCCTGTTTTCACAGAAAGGTTCATTGGTTGGATGATTGTCACAAAAACTCAGCTAAACAGATGTGAAGGAGCTGTATGTATGGTCGTGTGTGTGTGTGTGTGTGTGTGTGTGTGTGTGTCAGGGGGTCGATTTGCACTCTGTCCTCCTGAGCTTCTGCAGGACTAATAGATCAGTCAACGACACATCACAAATCATTCACTAACACTAATATGAAGATGTAAATCTTTGTTGTCGTTTCACTGATATTGTCACTCGAGCTGTGTTGACATTCTCAGGTCTATGTTCTGGTCAGAACCAAGCCTGTGATTCTGGTCATCATCTGTTTACCTGGAAACGTTTCTGGGCCTCAGCGACTCTGTTTCTCATCTGTCGAGCGGAGCTGCTGAAGGCTCGTCCGGCCACAAGGGGGACTTTCTGCAAAGACGTGAGATAGGAATGTTTGAATGACATGAAGAGTTTTTAACTTTTTTAACTTTAAACTCCATTTAGTAGTACTGCTTTGAATATTGAAAGTAGACAGAGTTAAATTAAAAAACCCAAAATGTTTCTAGAACTATTTAAAGAGGAAACTGAAGTCTATTCACAGCTCTGCAGAACAACAGGCTGACATTTTTCTACGTCATGGAGAAAAACACTGACTGTCCAATGTTAGACCACAGGGTTTGGTCCCGTACAGCCGCACATTGGCTTGGTAAAATAAAGATAAAGAGAATGACCTCGCATTATTTGATTCACTTTGATGAAAAGGAACAAGAAGTTTCACTAAATGTAATGGAGCAAAAAGCAGACTGGAAATAATTCAACACACGTCTGTTCAACAGTCACAGAGAACAGTCACAGCAGAGACGGAGTCAGAAGAAAATCAACTGAGACTTTGAAGTGAAACTAATGGAGCAGGAACAGATCATTCAGGTTCACCGTCACCGTCACAGAGAGGCAGTGTGTACGTGAGAGACTAACACAGAAGCACAAGGGCGCGTGTGCGTGTGCGTGTGTGTGTGTGTGTGTGTGTGCGTATGGTTCAACCATGTGAGTGAGGAGTGTTAGAGGTCATGTAAGGTGACAGTGTCTTAACAGTAAATATAGATTAGAACTTCACCACAGTGCAGCTAACAGACTGAGGCTAACACATGTAGCATTAAGTTGAAGGAAAGGCATAACACACACACACACACACACACACACACACACACACACACACACACACAGTCTCTGTACAGCAGCAGAGAAGAACCCAGAGGTAGAAACCAGCTGTAGTTACCAGTAGGTGGTTCATGTCTGCAGACCGTGTATACGTGTGTGTCTGAGTCGAGCTGCTCGGCCTGGATTTACCCTCACAAGGACATGCGCACACACACACACACACACACACACACACACACGCTGACGCTCACAGGCTGTCAGTGTTTCTGGATCAGAGCCAAACTACGATCTCCAGCTCAGGCCAAACAACAGCGAGGAAACAACTGGGAGAAACTGTCACGTGGTTTTCACTTTTTCACAGCTGGGTGGGGGCTGGAGGGGGGTTCGGTTCTGGATTGTTGGTTAAGAGACAATGGAAAGAAGAAGTGACTTCACACTGCTGTTTCACCTCAGCTCACACCTGTCACAGGAACAAGTACTCACTTCCCTCTGTGTGTTTTCATATAAAAAGCAACCAGCGTCACCCGAACACTTCTCTCATCTGGACATTCAACAGCAGCTCAACGTCTCAGGTTCGTCTCCCTTCTTTTTCTTTGACACTTTTTGGCAGATGATAAAAACAGCTCAGGTTTGGAGACAACGTCAGAGAAGGTGAGGTGGAGATGGTTTGGACACGGGCTGAGGAGTAAAGGTGGAGATCCTGGAGCTGTTGGAGAAGATCCTGGGTTGTAGACTATGTTTCTATCTCCTTCTTCACTATCCTAGTGGTAAGGGTTGTTATCAGAGGAGCACAGGTTCAAATCCCACATGGTTGGCAGTGGTGTGTTGAACTGAATGTGTCCACCTTTCCCCAGGGAGGGTAAAAGATGCATATGTTCAATGACCAATGTCTTCTTCTCCTTCTTGTTCTCATGTGCAGGTTCTCTGTCTTCCAGGTCACTTTATTGTAAAAATTCAGAAGTAGACAACTGAACATTGTGTTTGTCCTGTAGGGGGCAGACCTGCACATGTAGAAGAGCAAAGCTGACATGTCCATCTCTGAAAATTTACTTTATATTGTGTATACATTAACACACAACCAGCAGGTGTCCTCGTCATCCCAGCCATCCTCCAATTACAAGGGTGTCCCTTTAACCAGCAGAGCCGCTCAACTGAACACCCACAAACAGGACAACCCAGTTGGACACAAGCTCAGCCCAGTCCCTCAGGTGGCACTGACCTGAGCTCGGCACAAAACAGGTCCTGTAACCACGTCAGGCTGTGGTCACCTGCTCCATGGTGTGTTCACACACTAAGACAATAAGAACTAGAAGAACAGTTAGAAGTGAAGAGCCTCTTGGACCAGATGTGAAACCAGCCCAGTAATGGACCTCTGACTCATTGACAACAGTCAACAACATTTATATACTGTATTTTATATTTTTTTCTTGCAGTACTAGTCCTAGAGAACAAAGATGAGATTGGTGCTGCCTGTGCTGCTCAGCTCGGTTCTGGTGCTGGTCACTGCCTCAGACTGGGATGACCACAGACATGATGGACAAGAGTCTTCTCCAAACAACGACATGTCTCCGTGCAACTGGAAATGTCTTCTGTTCACACTGCAGTGGCCGGGCAGCTTCTGTCTGGTGAGTTCAGCAGCAACATCAACATCCAAATCATCGTGACGGTCATGAACACACTGTCCTCTCTGTCCCTACAGTCTCTCAGCAAGGGGACAGGATGTAGGATTCCTCAGAGCATCAACACCTGGACCATCCACGGCCTATGGTAAACACCAGCAGAACTCTTTTCATCTGGACGGGTCTCTCATTGAATGTCACCTCTGAAATATGAATGGTGATAAAATAAACAAACTTCTGGCAGGAAACAGGAAACAGGATCACAGAAACGAACCATCTAGAACAGTGCTCTCCAGCATACTCCAGCAACAGGTCTCAATCAGTGGTTCCCAACTTTTCTTTTCACCCTGGACAAGACAGTGTACCTACAGATCAGCTACCATTTCTCCAGTTATTATCCAATCATCATTGAGACCTCAGCAGTGAAAAATGCTACTCAGAGCTGCCCCCTTGACTCCCATTGAAGCTGAGCTTCAACAGGGTTTCATACACCTCACATCAACAGGATGGTCTGAGTCAATGAACCAGTCATAGAGTTAATCAGGTTTAAGTCAACCTTAGTCAATGTCAATAAGGCTGAAGAGATTTGACCTTTGACCTGAGGACAGGACAGAGGAAGCCGAGACATCACTGTTGTCTCAGAGACGACAGCACTGTTTTAAAGTGATTCTGTTCCGGTTCTCGTCCCTCTGTGTCTTTCCGTTGAACTGTCCTCTGTGTTCCAGGCCTGTTCATCCAAACAGCTGCTGCGACTGCTGGCACATGTATCCCTCAGATGTGCAGGTGAGAAGCCACAGAAGGACAGAGGTAATGATGTGTCCTGACACTGAACACTGATTGGATAAGGTCTGTGTGTGTGTGTTCCAGGAGCTGGAGGAGGAGCTGACTCAGCACTGGCCGTCCTTGCTGAAATCCAAAAGCAATTTTCACTTCTGGTACAGAATAATATTTGCTTTGATCTTTGAATCACATTGTTCTGAGAGTCACACTTTCATCTGCTCTCTCGGCGTCTGTGCTGTCTGTGCTGTGTGGAGCAGGAGGGACGAGTGGAAGAAGCACGGAGTGTGTGCAGCCTGTGCGGAAGGAATGAACTCTCCTTTCAAATACTTCCAGATCTGCCTGAAACTACAGAGACAGCTTGATATTCAGAAGTTGGTCTGAGCACACACACACGCACACACACACTCTCTCAGTAAATCCAGTCACATATAGGATCTCAGTGTTTTCACTTTTATCCACTTCAACAAATGTTTCACATCTCACACATAAAATTTAACATAAAGTCAAGATGAAAGGGTTTAACGCTGAATTTCTACCGTACAGATCTCTGGAAGATGGTGGCATCACTCCATCCTGTCAGCGACCCTACAAGGTAAATAACAGTACTGGTCAAAAGTCTTAGGCAGGTTTACAAGGTGCAGCATACTAATTATAATAAGGCTATAAATCAAACATGCACAAACACAGTCCAGACTGTGGATTAGGGTCAGTGTTCACACTAATTGAATGAATCAGAGCGTGAAAGAGTGAGTGAGGGATCACTAATGCTTTGTTAATCATCTATATCATCATTTCTCATTCTGCCTCTGGTCTCTCTATAGTTGGCAGAAGTGAAAAGCATTCTGAATCCACATCTGGGCAGCAGATATGAGATCCAGTGCATCACAGACGATCAGGTCAGTTCCAAGCAGATGACATTATTTGCTTGCATTGGTCCATTTAAGGCAGGAATGAAATGCTCAAAACCAGTCTCCTATGACGGTCTTTTCTCCAATGAGCAGCGAACACCAATGAGTTCCCACATTTCCTCTCTGCTCCTGTCTCCTCTTTTAAGGGAAGAGAGGTGTGGTTCCAGGTGAAGACCTCCATGTCTCGGAACCTGACCACCAGCTGTCAGTACCATGATGACTCAGAGGAGCAATGGTCCCGTGGTCCCAGGCGGAGCTTTTCTCATGCACATCCGTGTCCTCCTCAGCTGCCGTTCTACTATTTTCCCATAAACCACGAGCAACCAGATCAGCCGTGTAACTGATGCTGAGAGCAGAGACCATCACTCTACACTCACTCACACAAATGATTCACCTTCATGTCTTTTCTCATGAACCTGCCAGTTAGAACCAGAATCTGGTCCTGTTTTATTCTGGTTGAATGTCGGGGCTGTAGCGGCGTTACAACACTGACTGTGAACATGTTCCTCTTCTGTCTCCTCTGTGACGTTGAGCTACAAATACTTTTATTTTTAACAGGACTCTTTAAGACGTGACCAGGGGAGGGGTTTCTTTTGCTGGGAGAGATATTTTTCAAAACAACAATTAATTTTGTGCCAAAATCAATAAAATTAGTAGTTTTATGTCTGTGTTCCAGTACTTCAGTGTTTCTGCCACATTATTAGATACTCATGTTTAAAAAGTCTGAATAAACTAATATCTACCTGTAATCCTTCATCACTGGGACCACATGGATCAGATACAGGACAGCTGCGTGTGTCTCTGAACTCAAGCTGGACGTTAGCTTCAAAGTTACCTTCATTATACTGGTCTCTGGAGCCTACATCAGGAGACAGATCAACAGATACTAAGGTCAGACAAGAACCAGCACAACTGGACATCAGTGAGACGTCAACTTTAACTGTGGTTCACTTTCACTGTTTGTTAAATCGCCAAGTGTTTGAACGTAGCTGGTGAAAATGAAGAAGTGATGGATTTCACTTTTCTGATGTTCCCAGTATTTCACGCACACACACACAAACACAAAGTTCCTGTTTGTGTTGTCACTCTTCATCTGTTACACCATCTCTGACCATGGCTTTATATTAGACTTAAACCCCAACAGAGAAGCCCATTACACAAATACAATGAAATACTGTGACATGACACTAGAGACAGAAAATGTTCAAACTTTTATCTATGTCACAAGTTCAACTGACAAGTAACAGACCTGGGGTGTAAGAAAGTATCAGGACATGAGTTCTTTCAGAGAAAATTAAATAATATGACATTTCAACAGCTTCAAATTATTTGTCAACTGGCCAGGACAAGAGGAAAAGTGTTACTGGCCACAACATCCAAGCTGGCAGTACTTCACCAGAGGTTTGACTGACACCTCCACGAAACAGGCTCACCATTATCAGCTGACTCTTCACCCCCTCCAATCTGAACACACCAGCTGTCCATCAACACTTTGGGGCATATCCTCCAACTATCCACAGCTCCACTTGTCTGGACCATCTGCTACAGCACAGAGAAGGTCATTATCAGCACTGGATACAGGTTCTACACATGGAAACAACACAGTGGAGAAGGTTGTTTATTGACAATCATTGACATATCAGGTGAAAACCATGGTAAGCAGCCACTTACCCACTGGTGGCTGTTTACCATGGCAGCCACCTACACATCAAACTGTCAACCTGAACAGACATGTAAAGTAAAAATACACACAAGACAAACAGCTTCACAAGACAATTTTATTATTTTTGAGGTTTTTTTTGTCTCAATCAAAAAAAAAAAACAGAAACAGAAATACAGAAGAATGATCTAAAAACAGATTCAAAAAGATTCTAGAAAATAATGACATAAACGCAAGATTTAAAAAAAAAAAAAGGTCATAATTATATCTACAGTGTGTGTGTTTGAGTGAAGATGGATTGGTGAAGTCATAAAAATGTGAGTTCTTCCTGCTCCAACAGTGTTCTTTCACACACAGACCACTCTGATTTTCTCTCAGTGCTCTAAACGACCCAGGAACCTCAGGTTGAGAATCTTCAGCTGGTCGTCCAGCTCCATGCGCACAATGCCGTCGTCACCATCTATGCTCAGCAGGATTCCTGTGGCCTCGCGGTCTTCTCCCAGGATGACTTTCACCTTGACACACAGGGACAGTGAAGGCAACATGAATGGAATGATTGACAAACTGTAGTTGGGACTGTTGTTATGAACGTCAGGATGTCACATCACTGATGGTTACCTTGTTGTTCTTGGTGGGTGTGACGGGTTCCAGGTGATCACTGCTGATACTCACCACCTTCTCTGACTCCTGCATGAACACTGAACACATTCCACCCTACACGCACACACAGACACACACAAACAGTATGTTAAATTTAGAGAAAGTTAGAGTTAGAATCAGATCAGTTTTAGGACAACTGTTATAAATAATAAATCATATATTTACTAGTTACAGTTGGGGATTAACAATGGGTAACGCCTTTGTAAAGCACACAAAAAACACTGTGTGTGTGTGTTTGTTTTACCGTGACACTCCTGATGACCCCCATCTGTCCCATCAGGTCCATGAAGGAGTCCTTCACTCTGACTAGGATGTCTGTCGTCACCCAGTCGTTACTGCCTTGCTCAATGTTTGAGCCTGGGGTGTGGGGGTTATAGCCACCAGGAGAGGGCGCTCCTGGTGTCATGGGGCTATAACCAACAGGACTGGGGCTGGGACTGGCCTGTGGAGACAGGTGTCAGTCAGGCGACTGAAGCATCTGCGTCTCTGTGAGAGCAGTCACACTTCTCAACCATCTTTGACCACCTCTTACCTGATATGCCATTGGGGAGGGCGTGGGGTGGTAGCTGGCTGGTGAGTGTGTATTCTGGTAGCCAACGGGTGAGGGTGCGACCTGGTGGTAACTCTGAGGACTGGGACTGGGCTGATACGAGCCCTGAGGAGAAGGAGCTGCATAAGGAGAATACTGCTCGGTGTTGTACCTGCAACATACAGGATGGGGGTGGTCACATTCAGGACACACAGGTTAGCTGCGGTTGTGGACAGGTTCTAGGTTGACTGTATATGAGAAATGGACAAAGCCACCTGCAGTTTCCAGCAGTTAAATATGGACGCACTGGTTCCATATTTGAACTCCTGTGTATCATCAGTGTGAAGCATCACCTGGACCAGTCTAGACTGCAGCTGTGTACATGTCCAGTTCTTATATACCTCTTATGCTGCGTCATTACTCACATAGCAGGTGTGCCAGGAGTCTGAGGATTGTACTGAGGGTTGACCTGAGGAGAGGGGACTTCTGGGTATCCTGGGGTCTGTGGGTTGGGTGTTCCCGTGTACCCCTGTGGGGAGGGGGATGGCTCATCATCGTAGCCAAAGTCGTACTCTTCCTCATTCCTGGAGATGGTAATAGTTGTTTTATAAAATGTTGTTACATAAAATGTACACAAATGTAAAATATCTTATTTTGAATAAATGTTAGATTTCTATTTTTTTTTACCTGGAAGGTGTGTTAGGGTTATTTGGATCCCAGGCTCCACTCTGACCTGGAGTCCTGCTCCCATCATGCAGTGGTGTCTGAGAGCCATAATGGGGCGTTCGACTTCCTGTTACAAAACCACGTTTGATAAGTGGAGATAAACATTCTGTTTGTTTCAACAATGTTTTTTTTGTTTGTAGCCTTTTAGCTACTGCTGCTTTTGCTTTTCTTTTAACATCAGAGAGTGTGTTACAAATAACAGAAAGCAAAAAAAAAAAAACGGGAGCCTGGAGAAGTCATAATGTATTAGCTCCTGTTAGCTCATGTGCTAATGGCTGTGCTGTGGACATATGAAGTCAGAAGAGCGATGTGACTGAAGGCTGTCTGCTCGGCTCAGAGCGCAGTGAAGGGCTCAGTGTGGTTAGTTTGGCTAATTCTACTGGCCAATAGAGCAGGGGTCACCAACATGATGTGCGGGGGCACCTCGTAGCCCCCATGGACTACCTAAGGTGCCCGTGGGGTATGTTCCAAAAATAAAACTAGTCAACAACATAGTCAGAAATTGTACTGTTACTGTTCTGAAAAATAGTTACGTTGCTCTGTTTACCTCACCACAAACAGAGCAACCTTTTATACGCTTGTACAGTGGTTGTGTGGTTTCCCCAAAGAAGGGCTTGCGTCACTGCACTGTACTGCATATACAAACTTGCTGTGTTTGTGGTGAGGAATGTTGTCCTTTGGATGAACCAGTCTTTGTCTGAGAGTGTTAGTGGGTTTAAAATGTTGGGATTTAGAGTTCTGATAACTCCCAATTTGTGTTGTAGTGGGTGATGTATATGCTATATATGATTAAATGACCTGGATGACTGAAAACCTACACAGACACACTGCTACTGTTCTTTTGGAATCAGTTACATTTGCAATGATATTCAAATGTTTGCAATGTTGATGGCAAGAAGAGCTTCTACTATTGTCTGTCCCAGAACTTATTATAATTACATTGTTCGGGAAGTCTGTATCAAACAAGTAGTTCTTCATATTACAACCCCTGGCAAAAATTGTGGAATCACTAGACTCGGAGGATGTTTATTCAGTTGTTTAATTTTGTCACAGACATGACACAAAACTAAAGTTGTTTCAAATGTCAACTTTCTGCCTTTAAGATACACTAATAGAAAACCACAAAAAAAAGATGTGGTAGTCAGTTACAATATAACTATACAATATAAATATGAAAAATATGGAATCACTTAATTCTGAGGAAATTGAACAAAATTAAACAACTGAATGAACATCCTCAGAGATTCCATAATTTTTGCCATGGGTTGTACGTAAGTGCCTTTGACGTAGCTCTTAGTTTTAAAAAGGTCAGTGACCCCTGATCTAGAGCTACATTTTCTAAACTGGTTGTAAGTTTTCCACAGCCTATTATAACCCAAAACCATCTGACACATCAAAGCTGGAACCTTGACTCACACAAGTTTCAAATTAGAGAAAAAAGTTCAATATCCCTCGCAAACAAACCAAAAAAGCATGACGTCAATTTCATGATCATAGATAAGTAACAATCAGCAGCAGGCTGTGACTCACCATCATGCAGTGGAGTCTGAGAGCCGTACATGGGTGTCCTGGAGCCAGTTCCGTACATAGGAGTCTGGGAGCCGTACATGGGAGTACGACCGTGAGTGGACGTCATTCCACTGTGTCTCTTAGCTCCCCTGGAGAAAAAGGTTAGAGACATTAGCATACAAGGTCAACAAGACGACAGCAGGTCAACAACACCTTTGACCTCACTGCAGAGTCAGTTCTCTACTAGGAGCTAAAGTATATCAATAACTGATGCTACTGTTTTAAATAAAACTCTAAAGCACATTTGACTCGTGTTCACATACATGGTGGTGAGGCGCTGTCTGTCCACAGAAATAGTCTGACAGGTCGAGTGAAGCTCCACTCTGGCCGTAGACTCTGTTGCATCCTTCACTACCCCAATGTATCCTGGGAAACGGAGGACAGCATTTAGCTTTTAAAGCAGGGACTCAGCAGGACTGCAATGGAACCAACAACCTCCATCGGGATACCTTTATAAGGGCCCTGAGAGATACGGACTGTTTGACCAATCAGCTCATTGTCTCTTCGTCCTCGGCCCCGACCCATTCCTCCTCCTTGTCCACCTCTTTGTTGAGCACCTGGGAGGTCACAACATTCATCATCACTGAGATCTGACTCTTAATCCATGTCAAAAACAGTTGATCAGCTCCTGACAGGAGCCTACATGGCTGAGAACCTACACAGACCACCAGACTACACACATTTATAGAGATTGTGTGTGTGTGTGTGTGTGTGAGAACCACTCACCTCCTCCACCGTGGTGCATGGGGCTGCTGATACGAGGACTCATTGGGGCAAATCCTCCCACGGTGAAGTTAGTCACGTCCCTTGGCTATAGTAAAACAAAAAAAGGAATTCTTGAACTTGTTGATGGAAAATTACAACCAGACTCACTAATAAAACAAACAACATAGAGAACGTAGAGAACTAAAATAGACACAATGTCAGTTTGCAACCCTAACCCTGGGACCAGATCCAGTCCAAACTCAGAAAGCACACCACCATTCAGCCAGCGTTCTGACCTTTGATCCTCCGGCCAACACCAGGTGTCGGGTCTTGCAGACAAACATGCCTCCGTTTTCCACCAGCTTCTTGCAGTGAAGGAAGGCAAAACCTCGAAACAGGTGCCGAATCTCACCTTCACGACCCTTTAGGTAAAAAAAAAAAAAAAACAAAAAAAAAAAACCACACACACACATATATATTATATATACATATATATAAAAAACAATCAGACATGCACAACAACCATGTCCTTATCAGAAAAGAAACCTGTTCATCAACTGTGTCCTTACAGAGTGAGGCCCATCGATGACCTTCACAATGTCCTTGACATGAATGTTGTTCTGTTCTGAATCCAGTGCCACAGCAAAGCGGTTGTCCTTCCTGCGGTTCACCGCCTGGTGGCGCACTGTCAATACCTTGCCATGCATGTTCAAAACCTGCAAAACAAAGATGTCGTTCAGTTAAACTTGTATTAGCTGTTTAACTCAGGGACATAGAAGTGGTAAATAAATGTCATTGTATATAATTTAATTATTATTATTAGTTAGAGCCTTAGTTCTCATAATTCTGTAGAGAGATAACTGCAGAGTTTCTTCTGTTGGTTGCACTGTTACAGGAGTGTCTGCGGGTCTACAGTCTCCTGAGTCTACAGGGTTTACAGGTCAACAGGACCAACAAACCTGGAAGGTCTCTCTCTCTAGTCGGACGATGACTCCAACCGTCTGTGGGTCAAGTTGAACCAGCTCACCCCACTCATGCTGCCCACCTGCATCCACTCCAGAGGCCGTCTCTGAACAGAGCTGCAAATCTCTTGGTAACACCTTCAGCTGTGTACACACAAACACACATGGGTAAATGATTTCTCCCCTGGTTCCGTCTTCTACGACACTGTCACTACATGTGATACATTCTCTCTACCTCATGCATTGTGAGGTCAGAAAAGAGGATGACAAAGTTCTCCTCCACTCTGACGATCAGACCAGTGTCTCCCTCGTATCTTCCAGCGATCACCTTCACGTGGTCTCCCATACGGAAGTATTTACGCAACTCATGAGCAGGAAATTCTAGAGGATCCTGGATGGAAACAGACAAAAAAATAAAAACCTCTTACAACATACGTCCGGAGACAGTCTGGATTCAGAACCATCAGAGCTATGCTTCAGGCATGGATATCAGTCACCAAATAAATCAAACCACTGCATTTAAATCAGGAGTCAGATCAGTACTGCTTAGTATTGTGTCACTGTTGTCGACACCCAACAGTATTTTATTAAAATTTCCTTAAACTGTCACTGCCACAAAGTGCCTTTGTGTAAAGAAAAGATGTCAAGAATGTCATGTCATCTAACATGCCGTGCATTATGGTTATGGTTTGTTTGTGTACCTTTAAATCCTCATGTTTGGGCATAATGGTGATCTTGTTTCCGTCCACACTAAGGATTTTTCCCTGCAGGTTGATCAACTCTCCCTCACACACCTCCACATTGTCACCAGCTTGCAGGTTGTGTTCACGCTCCTTGCCTGGTCACGTGCATATAAATACAAACAAACCATCACATCTTCTTCATGCTTTAAAGAATGATTTGTTCATGTTAGGCCTCCACTATCTAAACCTGGGGCAGATGTACCTGACTCTGTCACCACCTCTAGGTCGATTCCTTCAGGCTGGTCTTCAAACTTCTCCAGCTCAGACAGAGTGGGCTTCACTCCATCTGTAATCTGACCCAGAGAAATTCTCCTGTCATCGTCTCAGTTAATTTTCAGAACATGACTGAGGGAAAGAAAAACCCAAAACATGTTCTCACCACTGCAGACATTGCAAAGCTCTTGAAGAGAAAGCCCTTGCGGCTGTAACGATTGCCCTCAAAGATCATGAAATCTCCATCGTGGCTCACCTCCCCGCCCAAGGATCTGTCCATCAAACCATCATCAGTTGGACAAACACTTCATCAAAAGAATTGTATACATTCTCTATTCTTCAGTGAATAAAGAGGGTTATAATGTCAAAATATTTGGTATCATCAACAAATGTTTTCCTGCAGTCCTGGGTTGTTTTGGTTACATATTATTACTTGTTTTTTTTACTTTTATGGACTGGCAGGGAGACAACCCCTCTGCCCAGGCTGATCAGCTCCGGTTATCTCCAGTTTAGACACTTCTTGATTGTGTCAAGAAGTGAGGCTCAGCCATTGACAACTGTATGGCCTCAACTGTGGTCTGCGACCCTGATGTTTGTCTTTGTTAAGACTTCTGCAGCTAATTGGGAATCATCGTTCAGTTCTCTACATGTGCTCAGCTGACAAAAGGGGGAGACTACAAATATATACACCTGCCTAAAACTTTTGCAGGTGTATTGCAGAGGACTAGAGAAAAAAAAACTTTCAGGTTGGTAAGAATTTTTGTTTATCCAGGCATAAATCTAACAGCTGAGACATTTGGTTTCATATTAAGCACCATTCAGATGTAGTGGCACGACCACCGGTTAAGCTAAATGCTAGTTTTGGCCTGGTAATCGCTGATCTATCAGGTTTTCAAATCTCTGAAAAAACAATCGCCACAACACTTATGTCTCCCGGTCCCAGGAGCCTGACCAACATTAGAGCCAGCTCATTCCTTCACTGTTCAAAGACCAGTGTCTGGAGGAACCACTGATCCACTAAAGCTTGGCTTTTTGTTTAGTTCTTACCTAATCTTCTCCGTATCAAAGAGCCTCTGGGGAGGTCTCTTGTACTTCTTCTTAGCGAACCAGTCTTTCTGCAGGACAAAGACAGACACAAAGCATATGAGATGAATGAAGAAAACCCATGAGAGTCAGTTAGAGCAGAGTTTTTTCATTTCAGGTACCAGACTCATTTTGGCCTTGATTCTATCCAGGTCTATTCGAGGGATCATCTTCAGAGAGATGGTGTTTTGACTCAGCTCCACATAATCAACCTGTGAAAGGTAGAACATGTGTTGACCCAGTGAAAGCAGGACAAACATGAACCTGTCTAAATTGGTGATGACTAGTCTGGTGTGCTGAACTCCACATTCAATGGTACCTGAGCGATGTCGTCCCTGTACAAGCCTCTCTTCAGTCTCACCCAGGACTTGGGTTTCAAGTTGGTCACTTCTTTGACCACCTTCAGAACATCCGTCATCTCTTTGATAGGAACCATCTGCTGGTTCCAGAAGCCCATCCTCAGGTTGCCCATTCCCTCAATGGCTGCCTTAACATGGGTCTGCTTGTAGGACTCTACATAGATATAGCCCTTCACATGGTCTGGGGCCACAACCGATTTGATCTGCAGGGGCTGTGGATGAGGAGGGAAAAGGGTGTGTGTGTGTGTGGGGGGGGATACTCAATGTTAGAGATGGATAACAATGTTTCAGCATGGAGTATCTGCAGATATTATATTTATTTATTAACTGTGAACATCTAAAAGCACCATCATGTTTTATCAGTTTAAAAATATTCTTTAGTTCTAAAGAAAGACCAGGATAGACCAGGGCAGACCGAAGCGCCGGACGATTTGACAGCTAGACACTTTCTACCTGTCTAGTCCTGTCTTCTTCTTTTCCGTCTCTCTGCACCATTAAATATTCAGATAGATATATGTACTTTATTGATCCCAAATTACAACTGCTGGAACACTGTAACTAGCATTCACACACCAGCTTAGGAAAATTTACAATTCAGATCAATCCCAGGGACTTTCCTTAACTTTTACAGTACATTTTCAATCATCTGATGTTACACTTTAACGAAGACTTTAACCATATGTTACTATTATTAAAATCCCATAAGAAGGAAGAAGACAGTGTCTTACTGTGTCTGTGAATTGGTAGGCGATGAATTTTCTCATCAATGCAATGGCTGTTGCTCGCTCCTCTCCAATCTGTGAAAATTATATACATGTGATTGTGTGTACTGTATATGTGTGTACTGTATATGTGTGTAGGTGTACATACCTTACACTTAACTGTCCACAGGTTTGGATCTCTGGGGAGAACAAATGTATAAAATAAGTTTTGTTCATTTTCATAATAATAAGTTAATTTTTTTTCACTCACTTGACTCCAGGGAGCAACTGCTGTTGGGTGATGTCATCAGACAGTTCTTCGGATCCTCCAGAGTAACTGGACACAGGGGAAAAGAAAAACATTTTACCATCAACCTCCAGGTGTTTTCTAAAATATTTGCTAATCACAGAAACATTTGGACTGAATGACAGACAGTCAGAAACAGAAACACTCACTGCTCTCCTCCAGATGATTTGGCATATTTCCTCATGTAGTATTCACCTAGGGCTTCTTCTCTGGAATCTCTGCAACACACACAACAAAATACAAACACACACTGAAAAAGGAGTCACAGAAATCAACACACCACTCCAGTTGAACTGACCCTGACAGAGTCAGAAGAGGAAGCTGAAGTGGAAAGTTTGAATGTTTATTGTTTTGTGTTACATTGATCTGTCTGCCCTGTAGGTTGAAAAGAAACACACTGTGGATGTGTCTGTTACCTCCAGAGGTTCTGCAGCCTCCTCGATCCAGAATGATCTTCCACCATATGGTCAATGTTTGACACTGAGTGAAAGACAAAAAAGTCAATGTAGAAGGAGAGGATGTTCATGTGTCACTTAAACTCAGATTATGACTTCAACGGGTGAATGTTAAATACACTAACTATCATGTTACACAGTTTGACTGTAAATCCACTGACACACCAGCAGCGCAGTGTGTCTACACTTATTTTGTCAAGTCTACGCATACAAATGTATGAATGTAATCATAGAAATAGAAATAATAGAAAAAGAAAAACAGACTAACCTTCAGCTTCCTCTGGTGGGGGGTGGGGATGATGGGAGAGGAAAAAAACAGACAATAGAGAAGAACAGCAGGAAGAGGATTTAAAGAGAGGGGATAGAAATTGTAACAGGGCCAAAGAATAAAAATAGACAAAGAATCACAAGTTAAAACAAAAAAAAGATTGAATTCCAGTGGAGGAAGATGAGGACACAGGAAAGAATTGGAAAAGTGTTAAAAGAAGAACCCGAGACCCGGTAACGGATAAGCGGACGAAAATGGATGGATGGATTAAAAGAAGAATGTAAGGTGGGGGCAGTAGTGAGACAAAGCATGATGGGAGAAAAAACACAACAACAAAACGTCATTAATGTGACTGTAGAGCACGGAGAAGCAGGAGGACAATGGCTGGTTCAATGATTCAGGGGGAAGAAAAGTAGAAAGAAAAGACAGCACTGTGATGTCGTTACAGCTGAGAAACCTCACATTCACATCTGGTCTTGATTAGGGCTGAGTGATACATGCCCTCTTTAACATATACTGTATGTTCTCATACATTTAAATGTGTGATATAGGATGAAACTATATAATTTGTGTTGACATTTGTAACTTTGGCATGAATTCAAATGTGTCCAACCATCAGTCTGTCTATCTGACTTCAGCTCAGGTTAAAAACCACTCTGCAGAAAAGAAACTTTAAACCTTTGCTTAAAAAAAAAGAAAAACTTGTGGCTTTGTCGTTTGCAGATGGTTTGAGTTTAGAGTTTCAAATGAGCAGCCCTGTTGTGAAACCAACAGTTCCAGACACTACAGTCTCTTCATTATTAAGAATTTGTTTAACTGTGAATCTAACGTACTTGTTTTCAGATCATGTGAGAATTGGGACCATTTTAAGCAGAAGCATGTTGATTAAGTTAACTAAAAAAAAAAAAACACACAAAGAACATGTTTACAACAACAGTCATTAACAAAGACAACAGTCTTTTACAGTTCATTCACAAAACAATAGATTTTGTATTTACTTAAGTTCTGGCATTTAATGCTGTATTTTCCATCAACATTAGCATTTTTTGAACTAAAATGTCTCTGTGAATATGTATCCTTCTTCCCTTTTGTTACTATTTGGTATATGTTGATATGATATCTGCACCATATCACGCAGCCCTATTGTAAATATTGATTCTTTTAATGAGACCAATTGAGATGTGAAATTTGAATTTCAGAATGTTTGTAGACACAGATGAAGACCTGGCCTGTGCACAGGTGCTCTTTAACAGGCTGCACAGGCCAAAGGTCAAAGGTCTGCTGCTCTTTTCTTTCTACAGTTCTACCGTTTGTCATATAGAAACCACATTTTTCATTGAAAATGACAAATAAAAACACGCACACAAAGTGACAAGTTTATGTCCAGGCTGCAGGGTCAGGCAAATAATCACACTTGGTTCTCTGAGAGTGGACGGACGTTACCACACACAGGGATTAAATTCAAGAGGCTGAGATTGCAGCGACCAGGTGGATTTACTCCAGGACAAGCATCGACCTGCATCAGTGTCATTTCATTACATATCAAGTTGATCAGTAGAAATCTATCTAAAGGCTCCATACAGATGCTGGTGGTGAATCAAGTCCACAGAGAATCAACCAGAACAACTGCTGTCAGAAAAAAGTACTGTGTTTTAACAATGTAACTACAGGCTGATCTGATATCTACTGACATAAACAGTCTGTAGATGTGGTGACCAAATGTCTGTGGACAAATCTGTGAACAAACAGAAAACTAAAGTCTATGTTTCTTAGTCATCTAAAACTCTATAAACATATTTTTTTGTTCAGGGCCAAGTAAACTGATGGTTTTACCTGTGTACAAGTTTAACTTGTTAATATCTCCTTAAATAAATAATGAAACAAAGTTGTGTACTAGGAGCCAATAATGGATTTGCCCTCTGTGCTTCCTCTCACTGACACAAACACACTCTGGGGTGGAGGTTGAAATGTGGATTTGGCTAAATAGATGAAACTGATTTTTCATCTGCCTCAAATAAATATGGATTCAAATAAAAGGTATCAGAGCAGGAGAATTACCGTGAACTGAAGAGGACATGCATGACAAAAAGAAACAGTGGTAAGACAAAAAAAGCTCAGTCAGGAGAAAAATCGCACCACATCAGCTCAACATGTGTTTCAAGGAAAACATCTTTGTAATGTCACAAACAGAACAAACAGTTGTCCACCGGGCAACTGCTAAATACTTAAATATGGTACCAGAGAATTTACGCTTTTATGCAAAGCAACTTACAGGCTTACAGGCCTGCTAACCGATACACTATGGAACCACATTTCACTTGTAAATAACAACTGCAAAGAAAACAATGTTGTAGAAATTCAAAAAAGAAAATTTACTTCTAGCTGTTCAAGTCGAAACATCTCACCTGCTCATGTGTTACAATACATAAAACAAGCCAGGTTCACTCATCGTGATAACAATTGAGTGTTTTTGTTGAATTACTCATCAATATTATCAATAAGAATCAACAGTCAAAATTTCTCACCTTTTTCCAGAATGTCTTCGGCTCCTTCCTCCCAGTGCTCTTCCTCATCCTCATACTCATCATCCACATCTGGATAGAGAGGAAACACAGAGAAGGAGGAGGTTAGTCAGAAAACAGAGACAGGGGAGGAGCAGCTACAACCGGCAGAGGATCAATGATATCTACCAGCTTCATCCAAGATATATCCTCCATGTCTTGGCTTCTTCCTTGGCCGCTCATCGTCGTCTTCATCCTCCTCCTCGTCATACTCATCATCATCCAGGTCTTCTCCCTCCTCTTCAGCGACCTTGTCACTGCCCACAGGGCTGGCTGTCTCCTCCTGAAGATTGGACAAAAAAAACAAAATGTAAATTTGTGTACATGTATAAAAGTCTTTGTTGTTATGTTTGTCGGGTGTTACGTTTGAATGAATTAAGTGTTAAATAGAGTCCAGTGTTGAACAGTTGGTTTACCCCTAAATGGACTTTAACTACATTCCCCGATGGCTGTGAATGTTGAGTTTACATACCCTTTCTCTTTTTAGAGAAAACGCGTATCATAAGTTCTCCTTCATTCTTAGGCAGTAAACCTAAGTTAAGAGCCATTGAGCAAATACTAAATCAGTATATGTTGCTAAATGCTACACAGTTGTGATGCGGTAACTGTTACGCATAGTTACACAATTACCGCATCAAAGGCTGAATTCAACATTCCCAACCGCCAGCATGCTGATGTCCACGACCAGTCGCAGTCGTTACGGTGAGCGCCTTTAGCTGTTAGCTTACCTCATTATCTTCCACCTCCTCTGCCTCTCCATCGCTACTGCGTTCGCTTTGGTTGTCGGAAAAGTCGCTGTCTTCACTGTCAGACATTTTTAACCTGGACACACAACAGTACCATTAATGAACATTAACATTTTCAACGTACTGTGGATTAAAAGCAGACTGTGTGGCTAACACTTAGCCACCACTAGGCCTAGCTCGAGATGCTAGTGTTTTTGACATAACTGTATCGTTCCCGTTCCTTCAGAACCGTTTCCATTAAGTATGAAGCAGTGGGCTAAGTGTGTGTAACTTACCCTTTACTGTTTGTCAAAGTGGAATATCCAAGGTTAGGTGATGCGAACCACGATTAAAAAAAACTTATTTTATTCAGCACAGGACCATTTCGTACTTTCGAACCGCGAGATCTCGACAGCGACCACAAATGCCTCGCGAGACTTGATCGGCAGCAAAACTTGACAAAACAGGAAGATGTCTCACTCTGCTATTTGATTTTATAATGATAAGTGCTGAATAAAGTTTAAAATGGACTTAATAACGACAACACCCTATGTTAGCTTACCAGTGTAACACACAGACGTGGGTTACCTGGGATAGTGTGATTTACTCTAAAGATGAGACTTAATAATACACGTGATTATCAGTGTTGAGAGTTGAAACTGCGTTGTATGCACAACGTTGTGATGAAATATTTTACCCTCATTTACATGAATTTGGTTTATTCTTTTATTTATTCATGTTCTATCCATACAACACACTGCAAATCTGGGATACGTTTTATTCTCATCATGTCACATGTGGCACGAGTCTTTGAAGTGTACAACTCTTCTAAAACTTTGTGCATTCTTTTTCTTGAGAGCTCCAAAACTTTTGTTTTCACTTATAAATAAATATTTATCCCGATGTTTTTCATTTTTGTCTATATTTATCACACAACGCGTATTCCTGTTAAAGATGGCACAATCAAATTTAACTGAGTGATTGCTCCCGTCTTCATACTTCATATCTTAAAAGATGCTGCGCGGTTACGTTTAACGTCATGCACCAACAATCCAATCACACAGCAAGCTTCAGAGTGACGGTAATATACGCAATATAGCTTGCATAGCGAACGCCGTAGTGGGTTTGGAACCATAGGTGTTGGTTGTTGTCTTTTCCCAGCCGCCATGAACAGCGTAGGTGAAGCCTGCACAGAGCTCAAGAGGGAATACGACCAGTGTTTCAACCGATGGTTCGCTGAGAAGTTTCTAAAGGGAGACCGAGGAGAGGATCCGTGCAGCGAGACTTTCCGGAAGTACCAGAGCTGTGTCCAGAAGGCTATCAAGGAGAAGGACATACCGGTCGATGGAGTGGAGTTCATGGGCCCTAATAAAGACAAACCCGAAAGCTGAAGGGGGAGGAACAGGTCAGGCACCTTTAGCGGGGTAACTGATCGTTACTGAACAGTACCGACACGAGTTCATCACTTTGGTCGGAGGTGTGAATGAGCATGGCCAGAGGAGTCGTCATCGAACTCTCCAAAATGACTGAAACAAATGAGAAGTTCTCAAACAAAGGAGACGAGAAAGCAGCACTTTGTGATGACTTAAGTGTCTTTGAAGGCTTTCATAACCAACAAAAAACAAAACAAAACTCTCCATCATGTTTGTTTCCCCGTTTTACAGAACGGAATAACGACATCTGGGTTGTATATTCGTATTCTGTTGTGGACATTTTCAGTTTTTAGAAATATCAGGAGTGGTGTAAGAATCCGCTGACCATGAATATGATTTGTCTTTTTATTTTCATGTCTTACTTGGTTTGTTATAAAGTTTTAAAAAGTTTGTTGCACATCTTAAAATCTGACGTAATCAGACTGTGTTGTTTATTTAGAAGATGGCAATAAAACACGTACAACACTGTCTGAAGTCTACACGTCTTGTCTTCTACTGTATGTCCAGGCAAGATGAAGTCAAGGCATCACTGACTGTGTCCCTGAAGTGCAGCTGTAACTAAGGTGACTCTTCTAATGCATAGTCTGTTCACTTTTTACAGTTTGTCTATTGTTTCCCACTGTACTAAACATGATATCAATGGCATTAGTTTAATGAGATAATATTATTAATAAGATATATTGTTGATGTTAGTTAAATGTCACCAACTGTTACCAACACCACTAAATAATATCTGGTACAGACCATATTCTCATGACAGAAAAACAAACAATAATACAACTGATATTACAACAGAACAATGTGTGACCGTGTGCAATATTGGCTGTTCATTAGGGTGAGCACAGTGTTGAGATTGCTGAGAAACGTCCTCACATCCTGCTCTGTGTAGACTTCACACTGAGGACACATGTTCTCCGTCTGTGGACACACACACACACACACACATATTAAACAGACAGAAAACAAACAGTACAGTAGGTTTGAATGTGCATGCATGTGTGTGTTTTTTCCTTGTGCTGTGCTTTGTTTTTGAACAGAGCCTCTGACTCGGTGTGTATGACTACAACCAAGCAGTGACACTGTCATTTTCGTGTTATGTGCATAAAGCAGCAGCAGCCATTTATGCTCACATTAACACCTATGATTGTTTTAGAGAGAGCAATTCATTATTGGGGCAATGATAGCTTGTTGGTTACGGAAGCGGACTTGGGTCTGGAAGGTTTCGGGTTTAAGTCCACCAGCTGCCAAGCATCGCACCTTCCCCAGTCACTACTCCCTGGGTGCTGCCCCCCTGCTCACTTTGGTGATGGGTGAAAAGCAGAGGTCACTTTTCGTCGTGTGCAGTGGTGTGCTGTGTCACACTGTCAAGCAGTTTGCTTTCTCATAATCTGATTCCCAGAGGACAGTGTGCCAGATGAGGGGCAGGTACCCTCGTGGTCTGTTATGTTCTGTGAGATCCTGCAAGAGAGTGCCTCAAATAATAATAAGAGGTAGGCTGTTCTGTTGTGACTTCTAGACATTTGAAAATTATTCATTTACTATTTATTTATTTAGTGCCTTGATTTTATTGAGGTTTAGTTTACAGTCATAGCCATAAATGGTTTTCGGCCTTGGTTTCCTCATTTTTTGGTTTGATTCACTGATTGTGTTTTGTTATGCACAACCCCTCCCCTCCACACACACACACACACACACACGCCTTCCTGCTTATCATGAATAAGGTGTCTTGCACACCACTGGTCTTTGGTAAACATGATATTTTTGACTGATTTAGTAAGTGCATCTGTGACACCTTCGCACCCACAGACCCCCACCTGATTGAAGGCAGCTGCCAGTTTCTTCAATTTGTTGTCGATCTTGAATGGTTGACTTTTCTTCACATGCTCTATCTCCTCTGTCAGGACTCTCATTTCTTCAGCAAAACACTGAAAGGTGGAGCTGGGACAGTTCTGCTGGAGAGAGGGGTTTATCAAACTGGTGAGCTGGGACTGGTCCTTGGACCTCTTGATTCAAAGTCCGAAGGACTTAACAACAACCTCTGTGTGTACCTTGTAGTCTTCTAGGCTGGGTGTGTACAGTTTGCCGCCCAAATTCACCTTCTAGGGAAAAGAAAAGAGGAAACAATAAATTTAAAGAAGTCAGACTTGCTGGAAACTGGACTTACAGACGTCTCACATTCAGTACAGGAAAATTTGTAATTTCTAACATTTTCCAACCAGTAAAAGAACCACATTAAAGAAATGTGTTCTTCTAAATATCCTTATAACTTGACAATTTTTTTATTAATAGTCAAGACTATCTGTCCTCATCTGTGATCCCCACAGCAGTGGCCATCATTGCTATTTGGCATGAGTGTGACACCAGACTTTCCATCCTCCTACCTACACTCCCTACTGGCTCAGGAGTTGAGAGTTGAGAAGATAAAATAGATAGAGAAGAACTTTAGTATCTCACTACAGCAGACACAGTGAGATCACTTCACAGTTCAACAGACTCCTAGTACCTGTACAGATTTCCAGTACATCTACAGACTGTCAGTTCATCCACAGACCCCACAGTACCTCAACAGACCGTCAGTACATCTAACGACCCCATTACCTGTATAGACCCCAGTACGTTTACAGACTCCAGGTACCTTAACAGACTTCCGTTCCTTCCTTTAAATATGCAGTTTACATGGCAAGTGTTGAGGATCAACAGCCTGAGAATGAAGAAAGCGTTTCATACCAGCTGGGGGGACTCGATGAGAGACTGAACCGCCGTCGTCATCATTTGAGAGCAGGGTGGGTTAGTTGCCTGAAGCTGCAGGAAAACCAGACAGACAAGACACAGAAGGCCAATCCTGAGACCTGAGCTCTCTCTCCACATGGCAGAGTCTGCATGATCACATGGTGTCTTAGACCCTCAGGTCCTAGTCACGCAGTGAAAACAACTGATTTTTTCCCGAAGATTCAAAGCCATTACAGATCGATGCAGATCGATTCCTGATGAAATCCCAGAGCAGATGAGGAAACCCACACAAGTGGAGCAGAGTCTTCCACGATCCAGACTGCGAAGTCAAATATGAAGGTGTTCTCTGAGGAGTGTGTCTCCTGCACGCTTCGTCCAACACACATCTGCAGCTGCGTTCTCACCCGCAGGAGTTGGAGGAGTGTGTGTGAGAAGTGTAAGAAGTGTGAGAACTCTGTGTGAGAGAAGACAGATGGTCTCTCAGTTTCACCTCCCTTTCCCTCTGTTTTCTACTTCTCACTCCTCCCTCTTTTTACTCCTCCTCCTGCCTCTCTTTCAGTTCCCAGCTTTAACAACATTGATCTCAATGATCAAAAGGACTTCTTCTTCTGCTTCTTAACATTACTATTATATAATTGGGGGTAACATGACACTGTGGTTGAACCTTAGTCATTAAAGAATACAACAGATTACAACATCTGGAGACTGTTACAGCACACATACTCTAGTGACGTGCAGGGGAGTGGACTGGCAATGCATCGAACAGAAAGTGAACGTTGGCAGACTGGCACTGAGCAACAACACAGCCATGCTGTAGTGATAATACAAGAGCGGGACAGTGAAGATGAAGTGTCAGAGATGTGATGAAGTACATGTTTCCATGGTGTCGGGGAGTATTTGTTAAAGCTGACAAAAGACATCTGTTATACAGATATATACTAGTGGAGACATGAAAATGACTATTGCTTGTGAGGATACTTTGACTGCATGAGGATCAAACTGCTGACCTTCTTGCTGTGATGCAGGCACACCAGTTTGAGAGGAAATTTGAGTCACATGAAAAACACCAACCAAATATTCTTCTAATCTGGGTCTGACGACCTTTGAAAGACTGGAGGAACATATGAAATTGGAGTTTGGAATGTCAGGCTCCGGGACAAATCAGGTCATCAAGAGAGGGCCATAAAGGATATATCATGTTTTATGACTGTGGTACCAACAGTCATTGTGAACAGTGTGTGAGTGTGTGTGTGAGAGACAAGCCTTTACTTTTCATATCACCCAAGAACGTAATCAGACTTTAACACTGTTGTGAAACTGATGCGTTGCTTTCACCAACAGTTGAACTTTTATTTTCAACCAGCCATAATCCACCTTATTATCAGAGTTGATAATAAGGTGGATTATCATTCAACCACAGGAGACCAGCACCAGCCCGGATCAGTTTCTTTATTATTGAAACTACAGTGACAAACATTCTCTCTCTATGACACAGGCATTAGACTCCAAACCATGGTTTGGTACAACGACAGTTGACAGCTGACCTCCATGAACACATGTCAGTTTGTACCTGAACTTTGAGGGTGAAGTTTGGACCATTCTCTCTGGAGGCTGTGATCATTCACTGAGTGTGAGGCTCTGACACTCTGACATCTTATATCAGGGGATTTCACCTGTCTGTCCTTCTGTCTGTCTGTCCTTCTGTCTGTCTGTCTGCACTCTAACACAGAAGAGGAAAAGTCTGACATGAAAACTGTGGACAGGTGAGACCAGGTTTGAAGTCGAGAAGAAAGGCAGCATTAAAAACATTGATACTGGCTTAGTCTGAAGTTTGAGGAACAACTTAGCAGACACGTCCTTTTGCACGCACACGCATACGCGCGCACACACACACACACGGTCTTGCTCTCTCACAGAAAGACCTTGTAATGCAAAATAGCAATTAAATGACTGTTAAGTGCCAGAGAGAATAAGACTAACTTCATAAATAAAAAATAAAATAATAATAAAAATAATAGAGGTTAATAATACATTTGAATTATAACAACAAATAATAAAGAAGACAGATTAATAATAACCTGTGTCCTCAGACAGTCAGAGTAAAAACAACACCAATAAACCAAGTGTGATTGTATCAAACACTGAGAACTGTGGACAGTATGAAGTCTCAGTGTGGACAGACTTGGACGTCTCACACAGAGCTCCAACTGTTGGACCCTGTGTTTACTACCAGACTCAGGCCAATTCAACAGCTACTCTGACTGTGAGACTGTGCATCAAGGTTAATAATGTGACCTATCAGAGCTCATACAGCCAGAGGAAGAATACAGATGACAGAGCAGAGTGAAGCGGTTGACACACTCAGACCTTAACAAAAGCCCAGCCTCTCATTTATAGATACATACAGTAAATGAATCCACACCGGCTTCAACATCTGCATCTCTACAGCCCTTACACTGGCATCTCAGAGTGGAAATAAACACAGTCCAGGGTCAGGATCATCTACTCGATCAGTCATTAAATATTCGCCCATTATGTCAAGTGTTCAATGTTGTCTCTTCTTGTCCCAAGGTCAAAATACCTGATTGTTCGAAGTTTGTTTTCATTCTTAGTTCAAGTTCATCCGACCTTCGCTCCCAGTGGTTTTTTATTTATTTAAATGTATTCACTTCTTTCCAACCTTTGTATCTGTTTTATTTGTTTCCTTTCCTTGAAATCTCTAGTGAAGAGAGGAAGGAAGGTGAGAAAGACCGTTGATGCTCACCCTCCTCACCATCTGTCCTTGTCCAGAGCTTCTGCTTCCAGCTCCTCCCTGCAGGGTTTGGGTCAGGCTGACCTGGGCAGTACTTAAAGACGTTATTCTACCACTTCCAGCTATCTGGAGGTTGACGGTGGTGGCGTAACTGGTCTTCTGACTCCCTGGTCTGCTGGGAGGAGAGTTGTCAAAGGGTAAGGGTGGTGAATTTGGGGTAAGGCTAGAGCGGTCTGAAGACGCTGGAGGTGTTTTGAAAGTGATTTGGACATGAGGAGTGGATGCCACTTGGAATGGGTAGTTCTGATAGGAAGGAGGTGATGATGACATCATATCTGAAGAGGACAGGGTGAGACATGATGAGGACAGGTCTGACTGACAGAGAGGCTGGGCGATGTAAGCGCAGATGATCTGACTACGACAGTGACCTTCTTCTACCTCGGGGTCTCCCCAGTCGGCCTGACTGTCTGACGGAGCCAGAGAGCAGGGGAAGTTCTGGGAGACTGGGGAAAGTGGAGAAGGAGACGAGGAAATGATGGGGAAGGTCGTATTAGTATCAGGTCCCTCAGTTCCGTTACATGTGTTTGAAAGGTTTTGTACATCGTGCCATGGTTCACAGGTGAAGTGCTGCCCGCCGCTCTTCGCGGGTGTGACCCTACCAGGTGACAGAGGGGACTGAACCCTGGCTCCAGGACTGAGGCAGGAGGTGAAACTACTGCTGGACCTCCAGCCACTTCTTGGACTACGTGGACTGGGTTCTTGCTGGTCTACGGACCTTCTCCCACTGACACCATAAGATCTGCAACTGCTCTCTGTCCAGGAGCAATGTAGTCCAGTAGAGTTGCTTCTGACTGGACTCGGGGGTCTGTCCATCAAATTAGAAGAGTAAGATCTACGAAGTAAATGGGTGGAGTTTGGGGGTGTGGTAGGATGAGGACCAGAGCTTTGCCGCTGAACCATGGAGTTTGGATGATGTGGGGAAAACTCCACTGTGGCCGAGTGTAAGGAGGAAAAAGGAATAGAGGAGGAGGAAGCAGGTCTAGGGTTTCTGGGTTGAGGGGCTGCAACATTATGTGACCACATACTTGGTGATACGCCAATGGGAGGTGGAGAGAGGATACGGGGGCTGGGACAGGAGGGGGACCACATGGATACTGAACTGGATGTTGAGGCTGAGGGTAGTTCTATTGTCAGGCCTAGAGGATTATGGGTGCTTCCATGAGCTGCCTTTGCACTCCGGGGGTGTGGAGGTTTGTTTGCCATAGGTGAGAAGTAATTATGAGGAGGAGGGGGAGAACAGAAACGAGAAAATGAAGCTGGGCTTGGGGATGGAGATGGAGACTGAACTCTTGAGCTGGGCTCAGACGTGGAAAAAGGGCGGGCTACACGGTTGTAGGACCCAGACCAGAGAGAATCATGGGAGTGTGGATTCACTGTGGCATCGGTGCTACAGTCAGTCAGGGTCATGTTATGTGAAGCTCTTGACCAGGGTCCATTACTGACACCTCCATTAACACTACAACCACCGACATCATGGATGTCCGCTGTACGAACAGCCGTCCTGATGTTGTTGTTGTTGTTGTTGTTGTTTGAATTGTGTGTGGTGACATTTTTAGGATGAAGGAATGATGGGTGAGAAGAAGAGAGGTGAGGAGACTGAGGACTGGCTGTAGCTTTATATGGAGAGGGACAACGCTGGGAAAGAGAGGCAGGAGGTGATTGATCGGTGAGCAGAGAGGAGTGATGGGAGTGTGGAGAGGAGGGTGGGAATCTCAGGTGTTGGTGACCATCCTTTGAGCACCCTAACTGTCCATAGGTCGGTGTACCACTGCTCAGTCTCTGCCCCGGTTTGGGGGAAGGTGAACGCCATCGTAGATTAGAGGAGGGTAAAGGTGAATGCGGGGAGGGGCTTTGGGTTTCTGACCCCCTGGATGGTACCTGCTGCCGGACACTATTTAGTTTGGCCATGTTCTGACTGATGGATTGACTGATACATGAGGCGGCTAAAGATTTGGTGAATGCAGATGACGAGGCTATAGGTGAGGAGCAGAGGGAGGAGGAAACTGTGGGTGAGTTACAACTTTGGATCCTTTCAGATGAAGACCTCATAGAAGAAGAGGAGGAGGAGAAGGAGGATGGGGGAGGAGAGAGTTGAGTGACTGAAGAACATCTGCCAGACGATAGAGTAGGAGACAAACAGGAAAGAGCACTGAGAGCTGTGTTTGCTGGGGTGCTGCCTTCAACAGGTACACCGGGAGGTGCCTGGACACAGGAGGCAGCAGAAGAAGATGAGGAGGAGGAGGAAGAGGAAGGTGAACAGGTCCTGCCAGGAGAAGGGGAGCAGTATCTGAGGCTCGGCCTGAAGGCAGATGACTCCTGGGAGTGTTCTAGTGTGGACCTGGGTTGATCCATGACAACTGATGTCTGTGAGAACATTCTGGAAGGTTGGCATGTGTTGGTTGACAGACTGAAGACTGGACAGATGTCTGGAGATCCCGATGGACCAGTTCTCTCCCTAGATGTGACCAAAAGAGCAGAGTGAAAGTGAGGATTCACACCAAGTCACGTTCCAAATGTTCTTGTGAATAACACGGGTCAACAATGAATAAAAAGTGTTGTTTTATATCAAAGGTGTGAACAACACAAGTCCAACCTCTGAACTTTGACCCAGATCTGAAGTCTGAAAAGTCTGAGAAGTCTGCTGCTTTTTAAAACAACCATCAGTTTGTTAATTCAAAAGCAGAATCAATATAACAACAATAAATAAAATAAAATGGATAACAGTCTTCATTAAACTGGTCCACCAAATGGTGGTGGGGAGGGGCTCGAGCTTGTTTGGATGAGGTCTGTGAATAATAATCATAAATCAAGCCTGAAGTGGACTACTACCAAGAATAACTCCAAACATTTACGTCAGCACATTGAGCAGCAGAGTGTCGTGCCAAGATGCACATAAATCTCTGTTTGAACTTGAACAGAACAAGAAAAAGTTGTTAAGTGTCTTATCTTTCCCAAAGATATCGGGAACTGACGTGTTCTGTTTGGCACTTCTTCCCTTCTCCTGTGTCTACAAGAGTGTATTAACACGTTTTATTGTTTAGTCAGTTTGTTAGGTTTAGTTGTGTTTATTTGATTTGTTTCCAATGTTTCTTCATCATTCTTTCTTTCAGCTGCTTCATGTCCTATTTATGTCATTTTACATATATGTTACATTTACTTTCAAAAGAGACATTTACTTTCAAAAGAGTCATTTTAAAAAAAAAAAGATCAAAATAATTTCAACAACAAATCTGTGACTTTCTAAGTTTTGAATCAGTGTCAGTATTAAAAAAAACATTAAGTGAAAAACGTGATCACTAATGTGATCCACTCTGTCAAAGTCATACCTGTGTGTGTTGGGTTGGATGCTGCTGACGTTCCAGCTGTTGACCTGGGTCTGTTCACCCACAGCAGATGGAAGATCTGGTGGCCTCTGGCTAGTGAAGGTTGGCAGACAGTCTACAGACTGCACAGAAGCAGAGTGCTTTGGTTCTGAAAAGTGAACTGATAGAGGTGAGGACGTAACCATCTCTCCTGATGACGTGACAAACGACAGCATGTCTGAGAAATTCACAGCTGAATCCTGTAGAACCTTCTGGGTTTGTGATGAAGAATTTGTAGGTGAGGCTTTGACACTTCCGTTCTCCAGGTGCTGCTGCTCTTGCGGGGGAGTCTCTACTTGAATTTTTGCGCACTCTACCTTCACTAGCAGCTCTCCAGAAGAGGCGTGTCCAGACTGATCTGAGATCAAACCATCTTTGCTGTTGTGGTGTCGCAACTGTTTCTCCAACACATGCTCATCTGTGGTAAGTATTTCCTGTTTGTATTTGTGTTCATATCTGTTTCCATGCTGTTCAGCTTGTTGACCTGGACTGTTAAAAAGCACAATGAGAAAATGACAGTGTGTGAGGAATATAGCTTGGAAGTTTTTTTAAACATTTCCATTAGTACATTCAGACTTTCTTATGTTTCTAACACAGAAGGAGAAACTTTAAGATCAGTTTTAACAAAACAGAAAGAAGAACAGAAGGCAGAAGATCTCATGTAGATCTCTCTTCTGGTTCTCTACATGTGTTTCAGCTACTTCCATCTCACTGTTGTTCTGTTTGGCATCAGTGTATGAAAACAAACTAGATTCTTACTCTATTTTCTCAGCAGGCCTCTGAGCATCTACACAAACTCCTCTGAAGGATGTTTTTGAAGCCAGGAGGTCAGTTACTCCAGGACCAGAGGTCAGTGTGGGTGACTGGCTGCTGCTGGACGACTGCTCTGACAGGGAGCTGACACCTGAGCTGCTGCCCACAGCGAGGTCTCTGTCTTTGGTCAAGGCAAAGATGAAGTCCCTGGGTCTGGACAGGGTAAATTGGTTTGACTGGGGAAGACTGGCTGAGGTCTGCGGTTCTGTCACAGATGAATGTGGTTCACAGGACGTTCTCACAGTCACAGGATCTAGAGGAATGTACAAGAAACCAGATTAGATTTGTTTAAAAAACATTCCACATCTACTGCAGTCTACATCTGGACTGCTGGTTCAGGAATCCATCCATCCATCCATCCATCCATCCATCCATCTATTTTCATCCGCTTACCGCTCTAGCCTTCCCCCGTTACCGGGTCACGGGGGCAGCAGTCTCCACCCAAATCACACTGCACCGTACCAACCCCTCTAAACCTTCCTGTGGGTGGTGAGTCCACTGGAGGTGAACCCTGGGGTTACACACCAATGACAGAGACATTGCCTCTGGGCCAAAGCACCACTGGTTCAGGAATGTATATAAAAATAAAAATTGAACTTTATTGTTCCCAATTTTGGAAAATTCTTGTGATAGCCATGGACTAATGATCCAATCAGGGATCAAAGACAGATAACTGGATCATTTGAAAGCCTTGTGGCTTGACACATCCAAAAATGGACCCTAGTCCCTCAAACCTTTGTACAACAGAATATTTGAATGGATATTTTAGAACAGTAGTCTTTACTCAGACTCATGTTATCAGTCAAACAGACAGACGTCCTCCCTACCATCAGTTCCACCGTCTGCTCTCCTCAAGGTCTTTTGCTCCTGGATCCTCTGGTTCTCCAAACTCATTGTATGAACCGGGTTCTGGATTTGGTTCTTGTTTTGGTAATGGGTCAGTTTCTGACTCAACACATGGCCTTCAGTTTTGTTCCGTGTTTGGTGCTGATCACTGGTCTCAGACGGGGACTGGTGGTGAGGTTTAGCTTCTCTGCTGGTTTCTGACTGACTGACTTTCAGTCCAGGTTTGATTTGTGTTTGGGTCTGAAGATGTGTCTGAGTTCTAGAGTTGGCCTGTGTTGAGGGTCCAGAGAATTGGGACCAGGCTCTGGACTGGTTCCAGGTACTGAAGGACCGTTTCTGATGTAGAGGAACTTTCATGGTGCTGGCTTTAGCACTGTACATCTGTGCCAGTGTTTGAACCTTACTCAAAATACGTTCTGAGTTTTCAATCAGCACAGGGTCCACAACAGGACTAGATACAAACGATCCAATACCAGCTACATCTGAGCCCATGTTCTCAAAGAAGGCTCGGTTATTAGTGACGATCCTGGAGTGTTGGGACCATCGACCGGCTTTTATCTGACTGGGAAGAACTTCAGCAGTCCTGCTGGTCTGGTCTGTGTGCTGGTTTGTTGTCTGGGCTGACTGAGTTGTGGTTTCAGTGGACGATGAAGGTGTCAAAAGTTCCTTTGTCTTTGGTTCTGCTTGGTTCATATCACAGACATTCTCTGTGTCTGGGTTTTCACCACATATTTCAGGTGTTTCATCTCTGCATGTGTGACTTTCAGAATCAGACAGACCTTCACCTGCCGGATATGTCCTACCTTCCTCACCTGTCACTAGATCACTTGTCTCCTCCTCCTCCTCCTGACCCTCGTGTTCTTCCTGTGAAGGTTCTGTCGAGATGGTTCCATTTTCCTCTCCTTCATCCGGTCCACACTGATCCTGGTTGTGGGTACCGCTGTCAGACGGAGACGTCTCAGTGGAGTTTTCTTCCTGATCCAGGGAGTTCACTGCTTCATGTCCAGATCTGTCCTCCTCTGTGCCAACTGAGAGACCAGTGCTGGAATGGACTGAATCACTGAGGGAACAGGGCTCCGTCTCTCCTTCAGTCTCCCTGGATGGCCCACTCTCTGTCTCCACCTGATGACAAGTCACAGTAAAACGTGAGACCGACTCCTTCACCAACCCAGATGGGATTTGTGAGAAACTATTCCTCCGTCTTCCTCCCACATCTTCTCCATCTTCTTCTTCTCCTTCTTTGTTCTTTTCAGCTTCGGCTGCCTCGTAGTAACTACGAATCTTTTCAATGATCTTTTTGTCCAGTTTGGTGAGGTGGGGGCTTTTTGTGGAGGAATGACATTTCTGGGTAGGTTGAATAAAGACATCTGGATGTGTAATGTTGGCTGTGCCCTTGTGGACCTCTTCTTCTGATTCCTGTGCTGCGATTGAGACGTGGACATCTGATGTTGGAGCAGCAGCAGCAGCAGCAGCAGCAGCAGCAGCAGCAGCAGCAGCAGCAGCGCTGGTGGCTTCTCCCACACTATCACACAGGGTTTCCTCCTCTTCTCTTTCCTTTCCTAACTCTTCTTCTTGATTTTCCTCACCTTCCTCCACTCCCTTTTCCACCTGTGGTGTTTGACTGAAACCTTCTTCAGCCTCATTTGTTGGGGTCTCATGGTCGTTGCTCTGATCTTGAATGACCTCATCATTGTCCTTCTCTGTACTCTCTTCCTCCTGATGACTCTCAGACTTTTCTTCTGGACTGGAGGGGCTCACAAGTGGGGGTAACGGGCAGGTGAAGTTGTTCTGGTCCTTTATATGTTGACTGTCTTTGAGATGATCCAGAACCTAATCAAAGAAGGAAAATGATCACTGTGTGTTGATCAGACACAGTAAGGAGCTGATAATGGCAGTAACATGATGTGATAATAACAATGATTATTGTTCCTCTGAGTCTGGTTTGACGTGGTGTACACACATGCTATACAAAAACAGTTAATTGTAAGGAGAATCTCACTGTGTCCTTGGGGTGGATAGATAGCCCTTCCCTGACTCTGCTTTGGTTAATAAACTCCAGGATCTCCTCAGTGATGGACAGAGTGGGAGAAGGAATAAGAGGAGCCAACTCTTCTTCTGCCTCCTCTGCTTCCTGGAAATGATAACAAATAAAATACTTGAGAAAATAACAATTATTAATATAATGGGAAAACAAACAACCGCCACCCCCCCCCAAAAAAAAAAAAAAATATATATATATATACACACAGTATATATATATATTAAATTTAGCAGACCCAAACCAGACCTGTCTAACATCTGACATCAACAGGTCTAAAATATACGTATGTAAAGTACATTTGTAATGTTGTTTGTGTTAGGTATGTGTAAAGTACCTCCTCCTCCTGTCGGGGTCTAAGCTGGGGGGTCAGACCTAACTCAACACGCTCAGCCTCCACCTCGATGACAGAGGAGGCCAGTGTGCTGTTGCTGCCTGCTGAGTCCAGACTTTCAGATGGACACAGCGCCCCCTCACTGTCTGCCTGCTGCAAAACAACAACCGAAAATACAAATACATGGTTCATTCATCGTACTGTTTTTATTCCGTAGGAGTGTGTGTGGGCGTGGCAGGTGAAGACATTCACTGAGCATCCCTAGGTTGGTCTGCGCCCCAGTGGTTAGGAAACATTGGGTCATTGGTGTCTTATTGCATCTGTCTTAGTGTAGTATTAGTGCATAGTGTAGGAAATAAACCAGAGTGAAACTTGATCTGCTGTGTTTGCACTGGAGCAGTAAGACAGGTGTCTTACCTTCAAAGCTCCAGGAACTCCTGGTGGTAGTGGAGAAGAGTGGATGGAGTCAGCAGGAGAGAAGAAGAGATGTTATCAAAAAAAGAAGAGTTACATGGTTTTAACAGAGTAACAACAGTGCCTTCTCACCATTAGAAACAAATGCCTCTTCAATGTCTTTGGCTGGGGCTAAAAGAGAAACACAGACTTTGAACCAACTTTATAATGTCACTAACAACATCCTCCACCTGACAGTCTCCCTCTCCTCCTGACTTCCTCCCCATCCCCCATCCTCCACTTGACTGTCTCCCTCTCCCTCTCCACCTGACTGTCTCCTGGTGCGTCTGCAGGGTAAGTTTCCCTCCAGCAGCAGTGGCAGACTCTTCCTGGACTTCTCAGGTGTGTACATGAGGAGCTCTGGAGGCTCTGAAGGAGAACATGGACAACAGGGGAGACAAAAGACAAACGTCTAAAAGGTGTCTTGAAGATCATGTGACCATTCAGGTATTCAGATGTGATCAATTCCATGACTCAACAATGGCAGGAAGAAAAGGACCACTGACCCTGACCTGATTGACGTCTGCCCCGGTGATAGGCCTGGATGTCGTCCAGCTGTGGAGATGCACTGGTCTTCTTCACATGGTCCTCTCCAAAGGTGGGAACTGAGAATTGGACAGGAATATATGGATGATATATAGATGTAACGATAAAGTCAACTCATGATACGATTTACTGTTGTCGATACAACTTTATCTCGTTTTTTTGACACAAAATTCAATGAACTATGCAAAATACTATTACCATCTAAAACGGCCTTGTGTACCTCTTAAACTGCAATTGTTAATCTTATAAGAGAATTAAAAAAAAAGCACATGCTATTTATCTTCTTTTATTTAAAGTCAAACTGGTCTGGTCTTATTTTCTTCACTAACTTTCGATGTATTAACAACAAAAGCAAATAAAGAAAATATTAACTGGAAAGAGTTCTTTTCTTTGCAGAAACACCGTTAAACACTGTGTCTGTGTTTTTCCCACGTTCTGTTTGAACACCTGAATGTCCCTTATTCTACGAAGGGTTGGTTTTACAGCAGGTAACAACCATGGTTTTTAGGTGCATACCGCCACTTACTGTCTTGGAGTATGTAGACTCATAGTATGAGCACTGATTTGTTAATATAACGCAGCCTTTTCCTTACGCCTTGATTCATTTTTTATTTCAACCGACGGATTTGTATAGACGACTTCACATTGTTACATCCATTTGTGGTCAGTGTTAGTACTGTATGTAGTCGGTGTTGTGTTGATTGACCTGTCACACTAACATTCTGTACAGATCGCTGCAGGTGTGTGTGGACTCACATTGACAGAAGTTGTCTCCCAGGACTTGTCTCGCCTGCACACAATGACATTTTAGTAAAACAAAAATGACATCAGAAAAAATGTCTTTGTTCGTAAAATCAAGACGGAAAGAGTTGGAAAGAAATCCAGAGGTTTTCTTCACCACAGCACTGTTTTAGGTCACATCAGCCTGTCAATCAAGCAATAACCTTCATAACGTCATCATAAAGTGTTTGTAACAATAAGGAATTCCAGTTTTCAAGTGAAAAATGTACAAAACCAGCCAGCAGGTGGCAGCACATGCCTGTGGAAAAGGACAGAATGCGAACCAGTGAATCCTGCTGTTTTCAGAAGCATGGTTAGGTTCCATATGGCACAGTGGCTGCTACTGTTTGAAACAGTTCTTCAGCACAATGTCTAGAACCACCACGACCTCTGAGTCTGGCCCTGACACTAAGTACAATGTTCTGAGACAGACTGTTGTTGGTGAAACTGTTCCTCACACACTCACACACACACACAGACCTTCTGTGGGAGGGAAGTTGGATGGTTCTCCACGATCAGTTTCTTGAGGTAGTGAACCCACAGTCGCTTCTCCTCCTGGTTCTTGGTCTGAACAAAGACACAGTTCATTTTCAGTGTAATATATTCACCAACCACAGTTTTCCAAATGAGACTGGAGACTGTGTGGCAAAATAAAAAAAAACAATGGCATTTATATTTGCATATTAATTATTAATAAAAAATGGTGCTGTACAATTTTGATACGCGTTGTGAATCGCAATATTTCAATGTATCAATATTTTCCCTCTCATATTTTGTCCCCTGATGCACAGACCTCTGGGGCCAGATTTTTTGTCACCACTTTACAATCTTGTCCTTGTCTTTAATGGTGTCTGCACTTCTACCTGCAGTGTGGACGTAGTCCTAGACTGGTGTTATGACCTGCAGCAGATGGAGCAGGTGTTCTTGTCCAAACTCACCTGGACGACGTGCTGCTGTTTGGGAATGGTCTGGTCTGACACTTTGAAACAAAGCGGGTCCTTTAAGGTCTCCACCAGCAGCAGGTTGCAGCACTGCACCAGAGGGACAGATGGACAGATGGAGACAAGAGCCAGAGATGACACAAAGACATTCACAGTGGCTGCACATGCTTCTCTTTCATTCTATTTCTTATGAACACTGGAGTGTTTTAGCTGCTACACTCTAACACACAGGACAGAAATGTGGAAGAACTCTCACAAATATGTGTGTGCTGTAGACAAACTGCTCCAGTCTCTTCTTGGCGATCAGCAGCATCTTATCAAACAGGAAGAACGCTCGCTCCTTTTTCACTCTTTGGACCTTAAAGGAACCTTCCAGAACCAGTTCTCCAAACCCACTGAGGTCTGGTCCAGTCCAATTTACCAGCAATGATTCAATTTCCTGTGAGGAAGAAGAGAAAGTTAAATAACAAATAACAAAAGAAACCCCTAAACATTTAACTGTGTCTATCGCCATCTTGTGGCCTGCTGCAATAAATCTGCATACAAAACCTTATTAGCAGAAAGGATGTTTATAGAGTATTTTTGTATTTGAGTGACAGCTGAAACTCTACTGATCATCCACAGGACCAATGAGCTGCTTCCACTGTTTCAACCTCCACTGTAACAGCTGTGGGAAGGTCAGAGGTCAACGCTCTGATCTTCTTCCTGCTCTATGATTCCTCAGAGGTTAGAGGTCAAACTTATGAAACTCGGGTCATTTGCAGCCCAAGCACACAGCGTCAACATCTCTGACACAGCTGCTGCTGCCGTGATGGAAGCAGTTAATGACATGTTCTCTGTGTGTGTAATGACGTGAACACGTGTTGGAGGAAGTTGGAGAATGCAGCGTTTGACACCTGTAGGTCAGAGCTCTGACCTCCACAGGAGGAGGGGGATCAGTGAGCTCACTCACTCTCTCTCTCTCTCTCACACACACACACACCAGACTGTCTCTCCAGTACACACAGTGCAGCAGTTGTGCAGCGGTTACTTCAGTCAGAGACTCGTTACTGTGACTTCCTGTTCCGTCCACATGTTTGTCTGCAGCAGAAGCAATGTCAATATAAAAATCAAATGTTTCTTTCACCTGCAGCCTCACAGCATGTTCCTGTTTCCTCTTCATGTCATTAATGTACCAGGCCACAGCTGTCATGGTGATGATGGCGTCCTCGATGACCTCATATCCCGCAGCACTCTTGTCAAAGTGCTTAGAGAGTTCCTTTAAGAAAAATACAAAAACTGTGAGTGCGTTACATCAGACCAATAGGAGTTTTTGTGAGAAAATAACAGAACAATCAGAGGCTTGGTTCTCCAGACTGCAGGTCATCAGTCATCAGTGAGGAGCAGCTGAGGATTATGGGAAAACCCCAGCAAATTGATCCAAACATGTGTTTGACCAGTGTTTAAACTGGCCACTGCTGACAGAGGTGGACTCAGACTGGAACCAATGAAAAGTTTATTGGGAAAAGGTGTGTGTGCGTGAGTGAGAGAGTGAGAGAGAGAGAGACACCCTCAGCTGAATGGCGTCACACTAGTAAAGCCAGTGTGTGACAATCGGAGCTGCAGCTGGACTTTGTTTGGGATCTGGTTCATGATAAACCTCTGTAGGAGGCTGGTGCCACAGTCAGAGATGATGAAGTTTCACTCCAGACTGATAGCAATACAGTCATGTTTTTCTTTTTTATAGTGATTCAGAGAAACAGAGTTAGTCTGTAGTCTGTTCTCAAAGTCCTCACAAGTTTTATATGTGGCCACATAAAATTAGACAAATGAATAAAGGATTAAAATAAATTGGTATAGCTCACAATTGATGACTTCAATAATCTTCTTATATAATTTATTATGGGTCCTATAATAAGTCATGTAATTATATTGTGTGGTGTGATTGACTGTACAGAAAGATAGATCACATCTGTTTTCTCAGAGAGAAATACATGGTACAAGTGTAGCATAGCAAAGTACCATAATCGTGATAATCTTAATGTCGTGATTGACTTTCTGACAGTAATCGTACCAAGATAATCTATAATCGCGACATCCCTAGCCTTGCCATCCAACCAGTTTGAAGGCGGGCGCCAAAGAAAATAAACACTCATAATATTTACCCTGATGAATTCTGGATTCTATGGTCTGAGACTTGGACTTTGGGTCTCGGCCATGGAAATCTTGAGATTTAACTCAGTCTTGATGATTGAGGACTTGATTATTGGACTTGAATTTTGTGAAGAATAACAGCGCACATAAAAAGGTGATTTTAGGGAAACTACTGGTAAAAACAGGTGGTGTCTGAGCTGTTACCTGTAGAAGGCAGGAGTATTTAATGTGTACCAGAGTAAGTGGTATGTAGGAGGTTACCTGTAGAAGTAGGTGGTACTTGAGAATCCTCTGCACTGGTTTGAGCAGGTACGTCTCCAGAGGTAAGGAATGGTTCAAAGTTGTCTGTCTCTCCTGGAAGAAGCGAACAAGTTTTTCATTGTTCATGCACTCCCTCAGTACGGCCACCGAGCTGAGGAGGGAGGGAGAGAGAGAGAGAATTGTGCACTTAAACTCTGGGCTGATTTTAAGCAGAAGACCTTGGTGAGCTGGTTCCTGTTGGTTCAGACTCAGACTCAGATTTAACAACATTTTCCAGCTCAGCCAGTGGTTCAAGAAACAACTTGGAGAATAAATGTACAATAGAACCAAAGACTGTTTGACTCTTAAAACATTACTCTGAGATCAGCCATGTGGTCTGTAAGAAATTAGACTTTCTTTCGTTACCCAATCAAATGATTCCAATATGATCCTGGATCCAGTGAGAACTCAATTAAACCCAACGTGGTTTTGAGCAACGTGACAGAAGCTCGTGGACGTGGAGGTCAGGACACAGTTAAACCACTGACAAGCTCTGATGAAAATTTATCACACGGCCACAAGGAAAAAATCTAATAAGAAGAATAAATGTGAACCAAAGCAGACTGGGAGCTGGAGGAGGTCGAGACCATGATGGAGCAGCAGGAGGTGAGAGGAAACTCCTCGACCCTGCAGTCTTCTGACAAATATTCATCAGGGCACAAAGAGAGGAGGAATTCAGGAAAGGAATGAAGAACAGAGAAGACAGATGATGGGGCTTAAGGAGGGACAATGAAGGAGGTGAGGGACGCACATGTTTGGAGCACTGACAGCCGTGCACCTTCAGCAAGCTGAGAGGAGACGCAGGAGATCAGCAGAACAGCCATCAATCATCATTTGGAGGAATTAAAGCAGGAGTTAAAGAGAGAGGAGAAAGAAACGAGAAAAAGACCAAAAATAACAAGAAAAAGAGAGTAAATTCTGAAAATGGGCAAGAAGGAAAGTAAAGAGCAGAATAACACAGGAGATGAATGATTCTAGGAGGTGACAGGAGAGAAGGAGAGTCTCCTCCATCCTTGGTCCAGTGACAAACCTGAAGAAAAAGGAGGAATGAGACGAAGACAGGAGTTTATCCTCAAACATTTATCTCAGCATGAAGCCAAGGACACCAGGGGTTAGAAACACAGTTTATCAGTGAGGGACGTGAGGGGGGGCGGGGAGAAGTTTGACAACAGAGGAAGGAGGTCAAGGTAATGATGGAGCTACAGAGGAGGCAGTTTTCCTCTGGATGGACATTCATCACAGATGGGTTTCCAGAGAGTCAGAGTCAAGGTAATATCATCCACAGACACATGGCTGATGAATTCAGCAGAGACTGGGACTTTTCTACAACGCTGCTCTTCTGCAGCTCTGTCACATGATCACAGAGCCTTAATCACTAAATCTAATTTGTAGAAGGAGATTTCAGGACAGGAGCTCAGCTCTTACTTTACAAAGAAACAACACTGAAAACCCACAGCATTGGCCACAGAGATGATGAAGTGACTCTGTACCACAGAGCTGCTGACCTGGGGCCAGGCCACTGTGTCAGAACTAGATGATGATGACATCAGCGTTGTATTTAAGGCCAAAGACAAAGATCCCTGAAGTTCTGTTAAAACAGAACGTGGTGGGGTGGAGTTGAAACAATCACTCAAGGTGTGAACAACTCTGCCATTGATTCACCGCAAATAATCACATTTTTATCAAATACTGACACAAAGTTTTTTTTCTAATTAAAATGAACTTTAGGACACAATGATAATAACTGATGACCTCAGGTATTACTGCCACCTACAGGCTAAAGTACGCACAGTATACTGTTCTTAAAATGATCTGGTCTGAACGTTTTGGACACTGTCTCTCTGCTGCATGTGTGTGCACTGTGTGTGTGTGTGTGTGTGTGTGTCTACAAAGCATCCTGCTGTTGCTTATTGAATATTTCCAGGCTAAACCTGCCAGTTTTCTTGTGTTTGACAAGAGCAGCACATGGAACCATGTCAAAGGTGTCAAAGACACAGAGTGAAGCTGTGAATCAATGTTCTCAGACAGGAGTGACACTTCACATGAGAAACGTGATGAGAACGGCTCCACAGACATTCCTCCAAAGTGTCCGTGGCAGGTTTTCAAGACTCCATAAAAGACACTTCAGATCCTGCACATCAATCTCCCAAATGTGTTAAAGACATGCAGAGGTGACGGTTTTATTTTCTGCTCTGCTCATGTTGTAAACACTCTCTGGACACACACACACACACAGACACACACAGTGTGCAGCAGTGTTGGATGTGAACATGCACAGACTGCAGCCAAGCTCCATGTTCTCACAGGCTGTAGATAATTACAGCTGCTCCGATGAGCCTGGATTCATCTCCAACAATCACATGGAACCTGACACCGGCCTCACTCTGCATCAACACTCACCAACACCAGTACCTTCTTCAGCTCCAAACACACTCTGCATCGCTCGCATGTTTGGCAGATGACTTGATTTTAAAGCATGTTGTTCTTACATACACTGTAGGTTTAGGGCAGAGGTTCTCAAAGTGGGTGGCGGGTCCCCCTACTGAAATGGAGTAAATTAATTTCAATTTAATATTTTGTGTTATTTGTGTGAAAAAAAGTTCAGTGGAGTTCTGAAACAATAAGTTTGCAGAAAAAACCGTAGGAGCTATTGGGAAAGGGTAACAGTTGAGGTTAGGATTAGGATTGGGGTTATTCTGCTGAGACTGACTACTGATCCTCCCAAACCTGAACAAATAAATGAATCCAATCTGTAGAATGACATTTATTTTTGACAGCTGTGAAAAAGAATCATCTCCATAAGTAAGAGATAAGATTCTGAGCAGTTAGAGTAGTTAGTGGAGTAATGAGCCACACGCCCGTCGTGTTTTGTCTTCCCTTTGATTCTTATTAAAGCCAAAAAGAAGAAGAGAAAAAAGACTGTTCATGTCTTTTACATCCTGGCAGAGACGCTGCCTTCTTGGAGCCGTTTTCTTATCTGGCCTGTTTCTCTGTAACTAACTGAACAAAGACAAACATCTCAAGTTCCCAGCGCGGCTGCACCCGAGTTCACAAAACCTGCAATCCAGCACAATTCTCTCCAAATCTGACCCAGCGGATCACAGTGGAAAAATGTGGAGCGCAGACGCTGACGGAGAGCAAGTGTCCTCACTGCTGGAATTCACATCAACATTTCACAGGGAGTCCAATCAGAAACATTCTGCAGCTAATCACTTTGATCACGGCTGGTCTGAGGTCTGAGCCTCTCCGATCGGACACCTGGTCGTTATAGATCATTATTAACCACTGATGGAGGAAGTGTGTCAATCTGAGGCTGTAATCACTGCTCACATGTGAGAGTCAACACACACACTAACACACACACACACAGGGGGTCCTGGTGTTTGGATGTTATATGGCCAGCTCATAAATGTATTAAGAACGTCTGGTTCCATAGGTTGGACTGTGCTTACATTCCTTTTCTGCGGTTTGTGTTTGTGTTTTTTGGAAACCTTTTGCCCTTCATTATGACTCCCAGGCACAGGGCAGACTCTTCTGATTTTTTTATGTCCTACATTATGATGTGACCACTGCGTCAGCGTAGGTGCGTGACATACTGTAGGTACTTATGTATAGTATGTGAGTTCCTTCGAGGACTCCATGTTTTTGAAAGATTATTTTTCTAGCAGTGGAGTTGCAGCTGTTGTGTTTTCCAAAAACACAACAGCTAAATGTTTTCCTATTAAACTGGCTCATTAGAGCAGAGAGATGGATTGTTGTTAACTGACAAGCTCATTTGACCAACAGCTAATGAGCTACAAAAATAGTGAACTCAACACAATATGCCAATGTTTTCATCGAGGTCCGTGTCCTCACCTGGCCTCAACATGCTGCTCCAGTTACAGTGACAGTAAACACAAGATAGAAAGTGCAGCAGGAAACAAACAGCACCTTGTTCTCATCTGGCTTTAGTCTGTTTTTATTTATTTCTCTGTGTGTGTATGTATGTGTGTGTGTGTGTGTGTGTACTTACTTGGGGTAGTTCATGCAGTAGAGTGTGTAAATGTCAAAGGCTTCACTCTAGAGAAAAGGCAGAACAAAGACAAACAACAGTGAGGAACTTAAATAAAAAGCACCATCTGTATTTGTCCACACTTGAGACACACGTGGTATTTACATAAATATCCATTATATGTCAGAAAAATATGTTAGGCTTCTCACACGTCCTTCACCAGACAAACATGTACTTTTCTGCCACTCCTGACCTCCTCATATAGTTCCACAGTTCTTTTTGGACTGGAACTGTTTGATACGTTTTCTGCAGCTCCACAGACACTGTGCACTTCCTTTTGACCTTCTTTACTGTTGTCTGTCTACGCTCACATACACAAGTCAGTCTGTGTTACTGTGTCCTGGGACAAAGCCAAAAACCAGGGAAATGATCCGTCCTCCTCGTTTTAGGACAATTACCTAAAATTACACAGCAAACATGAAGTCAATTGTTCTATCAAGATCTCTGCCAAACACTTAGATGAAGAGATCTGGAGGCTGGCAGTAGATGGAGTCACTTTTTTTGGATTGGTCACTTTAACACAGACCGTAAATCCACAGGTTTGGTCGACTGCATTATTTTGACAAGTTTTCCACAGAAATTACTTCTTAATATCTTTACTAACTTTTAAGAACTGCATGAGTTTTTGTAGTAGTCTGTACTGCATGACAGACCAATGTAAACAGTCATGATTCAGGGGTTAAAGGATTTTATATATTTATTTCTACTGAGAGATGAATTTGAACAATAAAATATATATATTTTTTATGGAATGTTAATGAGGGAAACACGAGAACTAAAGACCTATTTTTGTTGTGCAGTTTGTACGTTCAAGAGGTGTTTGACAAAGACAGCTCAGTTAAAATAGCTTCCTGTTCAACTACACACACACACACACACACTCCCACAATCGTCCTCACTGTTTACTCACCCGTTCTACAAAGCACTCAGCGATGGCTGCAGCGTGAGGACTTCTCTCCAGGTCCTCCAACAGGTCACTGCAGAGACAGAGACAGGTTTGACTGAGTCTGTGTCACAGAACTTCACCACGTCCACCATCTATGGTCACCATTCAATGTGTAACACTAAACATTACTGTAGGATTTGATGTCATTTTTAACTCTTTTTTTAACAGTTTTGAACATGTTCCTCATATATATTTCCTGTATTATAAGGTTATTCAAACTGTGTTTTTTAAAGATGCATTCATAGCTTTAGTTCTTGGAGCTGATATCACACAGGTTGACCAGAGTGAAGATGATGTGTACGTTTCTAACCACAGACTCTCTATCAGACAGTCTCAGATATACAGCAGAGAAATAAGTGATTTAATGACGTCAGCTCAGGGTCTCTTATCAGCTAAGAGTTTTTTTCCAACTCTACAAAAAAAAGGGAAAATATCAAGAACCCAGAGGTAGAAGCATTATCAAACATCAGCTCGGGTCTTTTAGGACCTTCGGGATCTGAGTCTGTCAGACTGCAACACGTCAACAACCACAGACACATAACAGCACAGATGGATCAGGTTCCCCCACAGAGGGGGGGTGGGGGGGGGGCACGGAAAACTTTCAATGCTGTCGAAACATTCTGTGGTGTTATTAACCAGTGAATATCACCACCACCACCACCACCGCCATCATCATCATCACCACCGTCATCATCATCATCACCACCGTCATCATCATCATCACCACCGTCATCATCATCATCACCACCGTCATCATCATCATCACCACCATCACTGTCATCATCAATTTAAAAATCACCGTCACCATCATCATCTCATATAGACATGGCGTTTTCTTCTCTTCTTCACGGCCGTCTCTCTCCCCCTCACACATTTTAATGACCTGCATGTGTGACCGTGTGAGTTCAGCATTTAAAAATGTCCACAATGAGGCAATTAAAAATGAAGTTAAAGTTCTGGCTGCTGAAGAAAAGCAGCTGCAGCAGGAAGCCCAGTGTGGTTCAGTCCATTAGATGAATATTTACTGAGTGACTCTGGCCTCAGATCCCACCGTCTGCCTTCACTGAAACATGTTAACAACACACACAGATTCATGACTGCAACACGTCAGAGGAAAAAGTTGGTGAGCTGCACTCAATTCACCCTTTATGTTTTCAACGGCTCCTTTTCCCCTCCATATGTGCAGCGTTGTAACTTCACACCTTTCTTTTCCAGGACAATTTGAAATGTCAAAAAGAAAAACTCCGAGTGGTTTTCTGTCCAGGAGGAAACTGGAGGAGGACGAATGTGACACAGAGCAGAAGAAGTGTTAAGTACTGGAACGAGACTTGATAAAGTGAGTGAGAGATAACTGAAGCAGTGTGGACGAGAAAAAAAGAACTGAAATGATTTGTATTCTACTGTAGTTACCACTCACACATTTAAACTTCCCCACAGTGGGAAGGATAAAGGAATTCTTAATCTGAATTTAGGAACCATCAGAATTCAAATAACCATCACAAGGTTTACCAGATTCATCATGCAGTTAATTAAAACTTCATGATGAATCTGACTAATCTGAATCTGATGGGGGCAGTGGTGGGACTTGGGTCCGGCAGGTTTCAGGTTTGAGTCCAGCAGCTGCCAAGCTGCCACTGAGGTGCTCTGAGCATGGCACCGTCCCTGCTCACTGCTCACTTTGCTTGAGCACTGTTCACTTTGGTAGATAAAATACAGAGGTCACATTTGGTTGTGTGCGGTGGTGTGCTGTGTCACAATGACAAATGACAAATAATTAACTGGGGGCAGCTGTCTCCAGGACCGCCACCCATATCACACCATTTGGTTGTGTGCGGTCGTGAACCTTCCTGCGGGTGGTGAGTCCACTGAAAGGTGCCTGTTAAAACTTAGTCTCCATGTCTTTATATCACACACCTGTGCTATTTTCTGTTGTTTCAGATTGATTGTAAAAAAAAAAACAAAACGCCTGCAGACGATCCTACACTGAGAAGTTCTGCTGACTGAGAGTGTGATTAAACAGTGACCTCACCAGTTTCACCAGTTCATAGGAAAGGTTTACTTGCAATGATCATGGGGACCATTGTCCCTTCAACTGGTCCTCATGACTGAGAGACTGTTGTGTCCCCACAACATAAGAATTAATAGGACACAAACACACACACTTAATATGAGGTCACACCACAAACCTCTGACTGCATTCTCACTTAACAAGCTAAAATGTAGTCTCTCATCACCACAAATATACATACATTTAGAAACACACACACACACACACACACACACACACACACTGCCTCCACTCTCCTCTGCCTGCCACTTGCCACTCTTTTGCTCTGTCTTTTGGCGTCAGGCCTTATTTTGTGGCTGCAGACATCATTAGATGAGGATTGTGGGAAAGGAAGAAGGAATTCTGGGTGGTTTTTTTTTCATGTTTTCTGGTAAGAGGGTTAAAACAGGCGTGATCTGCTGCAGTGAGGATGGACACAGAAGAACAACATCAGTAAACTGAGGAAGACAAACTGGCCGGATAATTAGGACCAGGAAGGAAAACATGTTTGCTGTGGAACAAAGTCAAACATGTAAAGAACCAGGACCAGGACTGGTGATGGTTTGTCTCCGCCCACCAGTGGAGGAGCAGGAAACATGGGCACGAATCTTCACAACAGTACAAGAGTGACAGCACAAAACAAATGGTGTGATGTCACAGAAACCAACACGTGTTTCACGTGTCCAGTCACACTTTCATGTTTTCATCTCTACAGTAGTGTGTTGGAAATGTTTGACACCTGTTTTATTAGTTTCTAAAATTATTCTACTGATTATTTGTCATTCTCTTTAATGGCAGAGTCAACCTTTTACTTGTGCTGAACCTTCTACTCTCTGAAGTGCATGTTTTTTATGCCCTTCTATTATTTATTCTGCTCAGAAGTGGAAACACCCTGTGACCTGACAGACAACACCGTGATTTCACTTGACAAGAACAGCTCTGTGTGGTTCCTGGTCTGTCCATCATGAAGTTTTGACTTTTTTATTACTTTTGTAATCATACGTTCACTCTTGGGTAAGACTGAGGTGTAGAACAGAAATGATGAACAAATATAACTACCAACTAACCATCACATCAAGGTGGTTTAGTTTCTGACCCCAGAGAACCAAAGGTGTTGACATCACGGAGGGAATTATGACTTTTAAATACTTAATTTACTTCATCAACAACTAAAAACTATTGCATAATAATTTGGAACATATGTTAAAACATAGTGAACCCGGGGCTTCATTCAACCTATGACCTCTGCATCTAAGACGTCTTTCATTTTCACGGAAACAGACATTTATGTGCAATATCTACGATGTCAAGACTCACATCTTTTATTACAAACTATAATTTCAATTTATTTGCTTCACAAACCGTTTTATCATCTCACAAGTTTTTTCTCTCTCATGGTTTTAAGCTGCTAAGTCAACAAACCGAACCTGGACCCCACATGACCTGGTGACACCTGAGCCCCATGCACCCGAGCAGGGCCCTCCCCTGCAGGTCGGGGCCAAACCAAACACACGGGGGCCGAGGTCTGTTTTTTGTCCTCATGCAGAGAAAGACGAGTCTTTAGCAGAGTGATAAACAGCCGCTGACGCTGAGGCATCTGAGAAATGCTGCTCCAGGGAGACGATGATAGGAGGAGAAGGTAGAAGGAGGAGAAAGGGAGGAGAAGGAGGGAGGGAGAAGGATGATTTAAAGACTGAAATGTTTGTTTTATTGTCCGTTTAACAAAGTTAGAACTAAACTGAAGGTTAACCTAGAGTTCCTTTATTCTCATTATCATCATGAATTGCTGTTATAGTAACAATCCTCTCCACAGTTACCATAGAAACCTGACCTCAGCGTTTAACCAACTTCTGTGAGGTTTGAAATTTTTTGTGCAAAATAAAAATCATTTTAAATATAAATACTCAAGTTTTAACAAATTGACTTAAAAGATAGATTTACGTCATATTTTTGTCTTGATTTTGTGCAATATGTTTAATATCATTAATGTAACAATAATGTCACAATTCAACCATGATGTGTAATTAATCTTTTTTTTAAAACTTCATTACACTACCTGTTTCCTACATTTTTACAAATGGGATGGAGAAACAGATTTAGAGACTGTATGTTTTGATAACAACAAAAACGTTTTTGTCAATTTGCAGCAGAACCACTCTCATTAACAGCAGCACCGTTCTCTGTACTTCATGATGTCAGCTGCGACATTAACAACTGGGTTTCGTCCAAGGTCTCACCAGCCTGGAATGTGGAGATGATCATTAAAACTGAGACAGACAACGAGGGGGGAAGGAGGGGCAACTGGTCCGTCCAGTGTTGTTCTGCAGAAATGTGTCCTCCACTGACAGATTATCAGACAGATTAACACGGTGGATACCCAAGATTAAATAGGAACAAAGCTTTGCTGACGTCTCCAAACCTGACAGGAGGTTTGTCATGCTGTAACGGTCTCTCAGACTCTGGAGCCAGACTCTTCTTTCATTGGGACAAACCTACAATTAGTATCAACCGTGAATCCTCTCCTGCCCTGCCGCCAAACTTCAGCTGGGTTTGATTTATGTGCTGTCACCAGAGTACAGACTCGGGGTTAAAGAGTAATGTTCTGTGAAAAAGTCTGACACAGCTGCTCCTCAGCTGCTGCACTGGTCCAACAGAAACACTGAGCTGTAGAGTTGTCCTTATCTTCATCCTCCCTTCACTGCTCACTGAAACCCATTTAATACCATTCAATGAGGTTTTCCATCTAAGGTCAACAAAGGTCAAAGGAATTAAATTTGAATTTAACGGAGGGTAAATTATTATCTAGTATATCAGTATACCATACAGTACACCTGGTTTGTGGCTGTCAACAATCATGGGTTTAATGTTGGTCAACAGGATTCATTACCATCTTCTCGTTATGAACTAAACTTTCACCAGAAACACGTGTTTTCATTTATTCATCATCAACTCAAACCAAGATAAAGTTACAGTTTGAGATGAACTACAGAGTGATTCTGTTAAATTTATTTCATACTTATACTATCACAATGCCTTATAAACAATTCCATTTGGCAAGAATGGTCAATAAAATGGACACAGGACACCAGTCCTCTGTCCTGGCTGAACTGGTCCCACAGCATGACTGCTCCACAGAGTCAGGAGCAGCTTTAAAGAAATGTCTTCTGCAGTTTAATGTTGTTCAGAACGTTCCTGTAGTTCTACTCTTCATATTCCATTTACATACTTGCTGCTCAGAAGAGTACATACTGCAGTAAATCAACAGAGCTGTCCATAGGTTACCAAGCTGCAGCTCAAGTCAATAATTTGATGTTCCAAACGGAAGCATTTTTTTCATGGCCCCAGCCTTAAAATTCTTTATGGATACAAATAGATTTGTGTGATTCTAATGACATTGAGATGAAAAGTGAGGCCTCAGCTCTGAAGATGTTCATGTTTGTGGTGAGAAAAAACATCTGTTCAACTCTTACAGGAAACTAATTTATGATCCTCCAGACAGAAATTGCACATTTTTGTGAATATCAGACATTTCATTCATTCCATTTCAACCCCTCTGTTTTGACAGAGGTTTCAGGGAGAGTCTGAACCGACCCCAGCTGACCATGGTGAGGGCGCACCCAGACTCAGTCCCAGGTTTAAGGTCAGAAACCTGTCAGAGGTCAAAGGTGAGCAGAGCAGCTCTGGAACCAATAATGATACTGATGGTTCTCGATAATACAGACGAGTAAACAGCGCCTGTGTGACATCATCGGTGACCACCACCGACTCCATGTAGAAGAGAGAAAGGGCAAAAGGTCAAATGCTAAATCAAGCTAAAAAAGACACATGCAGACACACATGCAGAGGTTCCTGTCTGCTGGAGTTAAAAACACATCATCATCTGAGCTGCTTTCCCATGATGCACTGAGACAGACGAGCTGACTCAGCAGTGATGTCACATTTAACCCAGACAGAATCTTTTCATCTAACAGTGATGAATAAATGCAAACACAAACTGTTGCTTCATCTCAGTGGACCAACAGATGAGGCCAACATTAAAGGAGACATGCTGTCAGGTTTCACACCAATGTTATTTTATCCATCTTTACTGACAGAACTTCAACACAACTGAAGGATATCCATCCTGTGACCATCAGCAGGGTCTCTGCCCTCCCTCTGTATTTTCTTCTTTTTATCTTCTGTTGGTCAGGGTGTGCGCTAGATGAAATATACACCAGCAGGTGGCAGCGATGTCACTCAGAAGATTCACAACAGCTGCTGAAGACCCATGAAGGTTAGCAGCAGGAGTTTGACCTAACCTGCTTTTAATATTGATTTCTTATATGCTGTGAACCATCAGTCCAAAAGTGTTTCTTCTTTCATAGAAAAGTTCTGAACCAATTTAATGGATAAGATTTATATAAAACAAGTGTGGTGTCTGATGTGGTGTATGATGTGTCAGGAAGACAATATGAATTCAATTAGTATTTAATAAAACCTCAACCATCACACTGATGTGCCACAGCTGTTTGTCATAAAGCTCATGTGAACGTGTCCAAAGTGTGTGTGTGTGTGTGTGTGTGTGTGCTTTATAGGCCTGATGACCAATCGGATGCTTTAACCGTCACTATGCTGGCCTGAGAGTGGAGTCATGGTGAAGCTATTCTGAATGATGTAGTCGCTGTGGACATGTTATGTCTACACATCTGGTATCTGAGTGTGTGTGTGTGTGTGTTTGAGAAAGAGAGAGCGAGTCAGACAGGGAGAGAGACAGGGGTGAGAGAGAGAGAGAGAGAGATTCAATGAATCCCTGTTTTTTCAACATTACTAACTAATTAACTTTATTTAATAAACTCTAATGGACTGTGTAGTGGACACACACACACATCGACACACACAATCACACAGACACACAAACAGATGTCAGCCTTCCCTCAAACCTGTCTCCCTCTTCCCTCCCCCTTCTCTCTCAATTTCCCATGAGAACCAGAGGCAGGAAGCCTAGATGGAATGAAAACTGTGTTTGTGTTCAAATTTGTTTTTGTGTGTGTGCATATATATGTGTGTGTGTTTGTGTGTGCTGAAACAGTCACAAAGAAAGTGTGGAAACAGGTCACAGCAGGGTGTGGAGGTGGGTTTTGTTCGTGCATGTGTGTGCGTGCATGTGTGACATATTTTAACGGCTTCCTTCCCAGAGACTTGAAGTAACCCCGCCCCCACCCCTCTCTTTCACTGAGAAAGAGCTCCTACAGCTTTTAGTGTTGCAGGGTTCCACAGAGAACCAACAGAACAGTTCTGTGCAGAATGTTGACTGATGGTCATTTCATCAGCAGACATCTGTCCTCACAGTATCTGTACCAACAGCTGCAGGTCAGAGTTATCAGGGTTAGCGGTCAAAACTGTGGCTCTGTCTCGTGTCTCGTGTGGTGTGAGCGCCCCCTGCTAAGTAAACAGAGCGTGAAAAGAAGTGGAGCAGGAGCAGGAGAGTCACCTGTTGAACTCATAGATGTCCTCGATATTGCAGAACAGAGTGCTGACCTGCTCTGGCTTCAGAGGCAGCGCTCCACAGTCGATGATGCAGCCCAGGTAGTCCTGCAGAGAGAAGACAGGAGACTTAGACCACATGGACCACTGAGATGAAGGTGCTGAGGACAGGCAGTGGACAACAACAGGACAGTAGTGAAAGAAAGCATGACACGGGAGTGAAAGATGATGTCACATGACCAGCTGTGGGTGAGCAGCGCAGGATGACCACAGCACAAAAAGAAAAACTACTATTCATTCATTGGATGGCAGTTTTCATACAAAAACATTTATAAAAATGTCTTAAACAAACAAATGCTGTACCACTGCTGACCACCAGGACACACTGCACTGAGAAACGACTTTTGTGATCGCCCATTTTCTCAGAATGGACGCCAATTACAGACACTATAGTTACCATAAAAGTAGATTACAATTTGGGTCTGCATTTTAGAAAAGAGCTCCTTACACACACACACACACACACACACACACACACACACGTGGTCACAAGAGTCATCTTTTTCAGTTCTTTCCTAAATTTGGAAAAACAAGCACTCGCTTTGTGTGTGTTGTGTGTTTGTATAATACGTCTGAAAATGAAGTCTGGGCCACACTAATCACCTTTAAAGGCAACAGGAACACAGGCTGGATAGAAAGCATGTGTGTGAGTGTGTGTGAGAGAGAGCGAGAGAGAGAGAGGGAAAGAAAGAAATACAGAGGAAGGCTCCTTCACCTCAGGATCAAACCCTATATTGTCCATCTGTAACCTCTGACATGTCACATCCTATTAGTTCAAAGTTAATTGTTGCCCCCCCCCCCCCCCAAAAAAAAAACCCCCATCAGCCCTCATCCCATCATGATCTTCACTCTGATCACTATAGAGTAATGATGAAGAAGGATGCAGTCTCTCCTCCCCCCTCTTGGACCTCAAATTCTCTGCAGCTCTGAATTCCACTCCCCCCTTCCATTTTCTCTCTTTCCTTTTTTTCTCTCCTCATTCTTCCTTTTCCCTTTTGATTTCAGTTTTTCTACTCTTTCCAATCTCTACCTCTTACTCCCTCCTGCCCATCGGTCCCTCTCCCCTCAAACCCCCCCAGTTTCCTGTCCTAGTTGGCTGCGGGATTCCGTCTCAAGTTCGTTCTCTCTCACACACAGGCATGAGTTCAATGATTCCACTTTGTTTCCTTCATATCAGCAGTTTCACACCAGTGAGTCACACATCTTTAACTGATGATGGCGCTGATGTCACCTCATTTCAAAGAGATCTTTCAGGACTATGACAATGTTTTTCTTAAGACGGGCTTGAAGGGACGCAGAAAAGCTGTTTCCACTTTCTCTCAGTCCTCCTTATCCTCTCTCTGCATTGTTATTATTCTGAAACACACACACACACACACAAACCCAGATTCACAGTGAGTGTGACATCATGTTGGCTCAATCAGAACCAGACTCCAGTGAAGCCTCAAATACAGAGAGCTGCAGGAATGAATGCTTACATTACACACACACACACACACACACATAAACATACAGGAATGTTGAATTCTGATATTTTTGCTTTCACTTAACATTTCTCTTTGATGTTTCTAACTCCGCCAGTGATGGATGCTATTTTTCTTTTATCTTCTGAAAAGACCACAGATATAAAAAATATTCTGACAAAGACGAAATGTTCTATATACAGTGACAGAGTGGTTAGAGCTTCAGCCTTACAGCAAGAAGACCAGTTGAACCAGCCGTAAACAAAATCCACAGTCTATTTTGGTTCGATACAAAAAAAAGAGTAATTTCCATAGCCTTTTTAATTTGTAGTTCATTGAAATTACCAACATTTGTTTCATCTCAAAAATAAATCTTATTTAAATATATCTGGTGCAGCCGTACCTGCTCTAGTTTCTGCTGTGTGTACTTAGAAGAACCAAAACAGCACCTTGTAAAAATAAATGCATCTGATAAATCATCCATCATCATCTTCTGTGGTGCATTCTTAGCAGCAGAGTTTATATTAAACAGAAATAGCTCACTATTTCTGTTTTGCATTTAGTGCCTTGGTGTGAATGGATGAAGGCGGCACAGCTTGTTCTTGTTCACTACACTCGACTACTCCCGGAGTGTAGAGTCACTGAGCTTTCAGCCCAGAGTGCATCGTCAGAAGTTGGGAAAATAAATATAAAATTGCATATTGTTTGATTAATAGAACGTATCGAACCGAGAACACTGGGTGGAACAGTTCAATACAGATACATGTATTGTTGGACCTCAAAATCTATCTGTAGATGGACTGTACTTTGTCTGTGTAGTGACTGTGTGGTTATTCTACTGTCATGAACACTAGCATTTTCAGCTCTCCTCGTTCAGAATATTCATTGTTGCACATAATGATGTTTTCATGGAAGAATTGTCTCATATTTCAAACTAACTCTTGTGACAACATAAAATGTTCTGCTTCATTTTCAAAAGTAATGTAAAGTATGAATTTGAAAGGATCGGAGCAAAGGGTTATGATGAGAGACGCGGCTGCAGCTTCGACCTCTGCAGGAGGTCAGAGAGAAAGAAAACTGACAGACAGCTGATAAACCTGATGACAGTCGGCCCTCAGTCTGTGTGTGTGTGTGTGTGTGTGTTTTGTGGCAAAGGATGAAAGCAGCAGTAAATTCTCTGTTTCACTTCAAAGATGTTTCACACTCCACTCGGACAGATGGAAGGTCTCACTCAAACACACACACACACACAGAAAATGCTGCACCTGGTCTAATGATGGATGAAACACACAAGAAAACAAAATCAAAAATTTCTCCTAAAGCTTTTTTTTTTCAGTCAAACAACTTTGAACATGGAATGTTTCAATAAAACTAACTCACCAAATACTAACTAACTCTAACTCTAACTGGTAGAGTAGTAACCAGTAATAAGAAAGAAAAAAAGATCTTATTATCATTAAGAAGACATATTGACACATTTACCTGATCTGCAATGTGTTGCAATAAACAAACTCTGTGTGTTTGCGGGTGCAATGCCAGCTGCAGGTAACATGGCCCAAAGGTGTTCACACCTGGTCAGTAAATTAGACTCACTCCTACTGCAGACCACGACAATCTGAGTCTGTGTTTCTGTAACCCGCAGCTGCTCGGGGCTGACATTCTAAGAACAGTGTTTGAAACACGTCAGACGATCTGCTGAGTCATTGGCTCACAGGGAGATTCTGTCTAGGAGGTTCAGCTATCGATGTAAGCTCCAGTCTTACACCTGTAAAACCTTTAAAACCAGGATTGTCAGTCCATCATGACAAACTGAACCACAGCAGTAACGACAGACAATTAAACAACAATAACAGTACTTCAGCTTATTCTTAAACTAAAATGGCTACTGAGTCAAGGGTGCTGTCTGTACAATCAGTCTATTCAGTGACTACTAACTACTAACTACGGACATGAAAGTCCAGTCCTTACCTCCACGATGTTCTTCAGATCTCTGACGTAGGCTTGTTCTGTCTCCACAATCTCCATCACAACCCTCTCCAGCCTGGACAGCTGCCGGGGCGTGACTGGCACCACCACTGATGTTCCATCGGCTACATGACCATGAGAGCTGTGTCCTTCTGCTGTTCTAGCAGCGTACGCCCCTCCTCCATGTGGGGTGACCAATGGAGTGAGGTCCAGACTGATGTCTGAGCCGTTCCTCTTTGGCGTGGAGGACGCGATGTATGCTGGGACGGCGCCATAAGGTAGCGAGGAAGAGGAGGACGAAGATGAGTGGGAAGCCTCATGCAAGGAGACTGAGGAGGTGGAGGATGAGAGGGAGAGGGAGGCCGGACGCTCGCCATCTGAGCAAACTGTGTTGACGGAGGTGCAGGAGGAAGACGAGGCTCCTCGGTCACCGGATGACATCATCCTACCCACAATCCCACTCAGAGACGAGACCGATGAGGGACGCTTGGTGGCTGGACAGAGAGGGAGACAGAGGGAGAGACAGACAGTCAGTGTTAACCAGGAGAACGCTGAGTTAATAAAGAAGAGGGACCATCCTGACAGAACCACATGACCTATGACCCAGTTGAATCAGAACAACAGTACTCAGTAGTAACCACTCAACAGTGGAAGAGGGCAACACATGGCAAAAGTGCCTGGTGCTTCGGCCTTACAGAAGGGAGGTCAGTGGGTTCTAACTGCTGGGCTGTCTGTATGGAGTTGTGTGTGTGTGTATAAGTGACCCTGTCACACACACACATGTTCAGTAAAAATGAATGAAAACGAATGAATGAACACTGGAAGTGTTGGCTGGTTTCAGAGGTAATTCTAAAGATAAACATCAACAAGATTCTTCAACAACATGGCATCAATGCCATCATTTAACCACACTTTTATTGGTCCAACAAGCTGTCAATCATACACATTTGACCTTCCTCTCGTTTTCTCTTATTTCTATAATAAAACTGATCTCAACTGCTCCTCAGAGTTCTTCAGCAGACATGGAGGAACCCTTCAGCCTGGTGCTGAGTCAGGACGTGCACTTTCTAACAGAGACCCGTTTTGATGACACTGCACTAGTTTACTGAGAGACTGTTTGAAGCACACAGTCACATGACTCAGGCAGCTTTGATGATCAGACGTGTGTTTTATCCAGGTCTAATCATGGAGATGAGGAGGAGCTGATGCTACTAAAAACATTGCGAGTCCTGGAGAAAAATTCTTGTATTAATGGATGTCTTGACCAGCAGGGGTCATGAGACCCTCTCTCTGACCCCACTGCCCAGGTTTGAAAGGTTTGGCCTTTACTCCTGATTGAACTGCAGCACCAATCATTACCTATGTAAACACATCACACCTTTCCCTTTGTCTTCACTTTTGTGCTCAGACTGAAGAAGAGGTTCTCACAGGAAGTAGTAGTGGGAGTACCAACAGCTGCCCACTGTTGTTCATGAAACGGCCATGTTTGATTTGGAACAGAACCAACGCACTTCACAGCTTCACTGAAACTCTAGAGCCCACAGGCCACTGCAGTTTTAACCCTCGCAGACACACAACGCTCATCTCGTCCAGGAGAGGACGAGGGCGTCTCAGTGCTCCAGATCTGATGTGTTAAACAGACATTTTCAAAAGCTGCTCCTCAGAGCAGGAGTAAAAGTTTACCTCCTTTTTCTTTCTGAGTTTGTCAGCTTAGAGATTTTAAAATGTGATCGTAAGAAGTCTTCAGTCACATGTACAGATGCAGTACTGGCAGTAGTAATACTTCAAAGTGTTTGCCACTGTTGTAGGTCTGGACTGCTGGGGAAACTCCCATGATTCATTGAGTCTCTCCCTGACTCTGCAGAATTTTGAGCCGCAGAGCCTGAAGTCCCAAATCTGATTTGAACTTTAATTAGAAATCCCTGTGAAAGTGATTATTAGTGTATTATTAACATTAGTGTAAGAAGTACATGCATCAATATAATACACTATGAATGTACTACAATGGTCTTCTCTGATAACTTCTTATATTCACTACTAAAATTGACGAGATCTGTAGTTAGTCTCGTCCTCCCTGTCTATTATATCCTATATAACGCCACCTGTTGGTCACTGTAGGTTCTGTTAACACACTGGAGCATGTACTTCTATACTGACTAAAGCTGGTCATGTGTGTATTTGTGTTTAGGAAAAATCTATACTAAGAGACACACACACTGACTCATTTTTTAACTGTAAAGATGTCTGAGAACCATGTCTGAATGCCATGGCTAAATAAGGATGTAATTGCTCCTTCGATGAGTAAGTGAGTGAGTGTGTGTGTGTGTGTGTGTGTGTATGTATTTGCTCATATGTGACTGTCTGTTTCCTGTTTCTAATGAAGTGTGTCTGTCTTCTGCTGGTAAACTTCTCCTCCAGTAGAACATTACACCAACAATGTAGAGAGTGGAGTCAAACAATCAAAACAAAACACAGCAAGAAAATATAACAAGGTCCTGCGGCCAAAGAGGACACATGAAAATATTCAATAGTATTTATGTTGCAAAATTTAAATTGAAGTCTGTGTCCTGTCATTGGTTTAAAGTATGAAAAAAACAAACAAAGAAGAATCATTCTTGCTGCGTTTGTTCTCGGCAACCTCATCACAAAGACTTCCAGTGGACGTGGACATATTTCTGTCCAGTTTGTTGAAAACCAAAGCCAGGATAACTTTAAGTCTTACGTGCAGCGTGTGTTTGTGAAGTTCAGTTTGCTGTTCATTTTCTCCATTTTATATATCCACTCACTAATTGCATTGAATTGCACAAAACCACAGGACCTTGTTAGAACCCTGGTATTTAGTCCCATGGGTGGAGTAGACGTGGAATGTGGTTTGTTTTAAAACTCGTCAGTTTCTCAGGGAGTCCACAGTTAGATTGTTGTTGTTGTTATGTTTATTGTTGTTCTCTTCTTTGTTGGTTTGTCTTCTTCTACTCCTCTAATGTGTGTTTCACCTTTCACCTCCGTCTTATCTCTCTGATGGGTTTGGTAATAGATGCTAATGTGTCTCTAGTTCCTCAGTCTGTGGAAAGTTAAGACAATTCTCCAAGTAGTCAAAACATCAATAATAATTTTCCTGACGAGTCAAGAAATGAGAAAAGTTTCAGGGCCTTTTCAGTATATCAGGAGATTTTCAGGTCAAGAACTTCACAAGATGAAGAAGAGCTGACACAGGAAGTCCATCCTACTGTATATACCCTTGTATAACAGGGATTCTTATAATAATCTGGTTCAAGTACCATGTACTGTCAGAACATATTATGTTGTTTTTTATATTTCACTATTCAAATATTACACAGGACCATTTATTCAGGTTTTTAATTTTCAAATGTGAAAGTGTTGTAATGAAGTGAAGAACAACTTCACTGCAGTACCTGAGATGACACCCAGAGGTCACAAACCGTCAATTGAAGATCTCTGCTAAAGAACAATAATAAATAAAAGATTCAAACTTCATGGCAGTCCTTATACAGACTGGGGGACAATAGAGGACACAGTGACAGTCCTCACCCCAATAAGACCAAATATTCACTTTAACCTAAAAAGACTGAAAGATTTAAGGATTTCAGGAGGCAGGCACAAAGTTAGCCTTGAGTCCAACTCTAAGTCCAACTCTAGGTTCAACTTTGACTCCAGCTGTCCTTAACATCTCATCAGTGTGTATTTCGGCCAGTGTGTGGTGAAGAAGCCTCGTCCTCTCTGCTGATATCACTGTCTCAACCTGACTCTCTCTCTTTCTCTCCCCCTTATAAACAGTCCTGCAGCAGGGCAGCACCAGCCACAGCCCAGTACTAGAACAGCAAAGTGTTTACAAACCAGTGAGAAAAAAACAGGCAGGAATATTAACACGGGTGAGAAAACTAAAGACAAGGAGAAAGTATTCAACCGGTCAATAAATGAGTTCCAGTCAGTCATGGACCAAACATTAGACGTTACAAACTGTTCACACACACACACACACACATCTTAATCTACAGTAAATTTGATTTTCAAAACAGCAGCAGAAGTACTTACAGTTTTCTGTGTATCTCAGTATGTTTGTGAGGGTGTGTGTATGAGCGCAAGAGTGGAGAAAGATACACCTTGAAAAAGCAGGATGTGGTTGATGTAGCAAATACTCATCTCATTATGTTTCTTTGTTCACACATCGAAAACACACACACTCTTGTTCTCTCTCCATCTCTCTCTCTCTCTCTATCTCACCCACTCACACTAACACTCATACAAACACACTTGCACACACAGAATATAGATATTAGGAGTGTGTATTGGCAAGAGTCCGATGAAATGAGACGTATCACGATACTGGGCAACTATATGATACATTGTGATATGCTGCAATATTAGAGGCAGGATGATATAGTAATGCTGCACAATGCTGCTAGATCTCAACATCACGTTACTAAAGTTGGAACAGATGGATCCACATTTGTAATCACTAGAGAAGAATAACAGCAAAATAAAATGAATAAATACATATTTGAATGTTAATTGTAAAAAATCTATACAGTGCTGAAGAATATCGAAACGGTATAGTGGAACAAGATATTCCAATATTTTTTAGTGATTGATATTGATATTCTCTTACACCCCAACAGACATGTCTCTACATCTGTATCTATTTGGACCGTTTGTTGTTGGTGAAAGCATAAAGTGGATCAAAACAAAAGAATGATCAAACAGTAGGACAATCTGAAAATGTTGAGGTTTGTGTGATACTAACTTTCACAGGAGAACGGTTGTGGCGACTGGTCAGTAAACCTGCTCCAGCTTAATCTAGGTCCAGTTATCTAAACCTAACTCTGCCCCCCAGGATAAAAGTGAGCAGTGAAAGTCTCATGAGGATTGTGGAAGTCCATTAAAAGATCAGCAAAGAAAAAATATATACCAAAGCTGAGCCCTTGCTAAGTATGTTGTCTTAAAAAGTGATTGCTGTGGTGGTTGTCAGGTCTGGGTCTGAGTTACCGCAGCAGCTGTGATGTTAAAGTTCTTTAAAACTGGTGGAACCTCAGACATGAACAACAGGAAGTCTCTCTGCTGTCTGAGACGTTTCTCTTCACCACCTCTGATGCCACCTGCAGAGGTGTCACCAGCTTGTCATCTGTACAAAGCCAACAACGTATGACCTCTGACTCCACACAGTGAACGCATGTGTGTGTGTGTGTGTGTTATGTAATAAATCATTTACTGTAAAACAGCTCAGGCCACGACCCTGACTCATACATCACTCACTACAGAGCCGACAGCTAAATCTGTGATCAAAGGGTTGCCTGTTTGAATCCTGTGACCAGCAGTAGGCGCCAATCTACCCTTGCAGTAAAGTATCTTGTCTTCTACCTCTCATCCCTAGAGATTTAAAAAAAATCATTTAAGAGGTCAAAGAGCTGCTCCACACAGGACAGACATAAGAAATAAATAACACATAAAAATGATAAAAAGAAAACATATTTGACACAAAGAAGAGATTCTGCTGAGATTCTGCTGAGCTGCTCATGTCTCACTAGTAGCACGAACACAGTCAGCAGCGCGGGTCATGTTGTTACATGTTCTAAAGACGTGGAGCACAGAGAGTCCAGTTTCTGTCAGTACAGAACCCTGGTGAGGAGTGAGGGAATTTTAAAGAGTTGCTGTGGAACTGTGAGACGGATCCACAGAGGGGACAGTAATGACAGAGGACCCTTTCACTGTTATTACACCTGTGATGTAACAGTGATGTAACTGACAGAATGTTAAAAGCTGAGGAACACAAAAACAAACCATCTGTGTTTTTAAAATGAAATTATAAGGTTAAAGTTATTGTTGTTTTATTAGAGTGCGTTTGAGAACATTGTAAATATTTGAAAGTTTTTTTTATTACCTGAGTCTAGGATGAAGTCAAATGTGGTTTTTAGCTGCTTCCTCCGGGAAACAAGCCCTATGTCCTGCTTCGTGGCCATTTCAGTGACTTGCAGCCAATTCAGGGCCTACGAACCTGAAAGTGTTCTAATTTTATTATTAAAAATTTGGATTTAATATGCAGTATTAATAAAATATTGAAACTTTCACATAACGAAAGTTTCAAAGAAGAGGTTGTGTGTGAGGGGTAGCTGTAGTGCAAGGACACAGTGTGTTTTTAAAATAAGGGTGCAGGGCCGTACTTCAGCTCTGAACCAGATGTTGAATTAGTGTGAATGTGTCTTTAGGCTCAGAGTCAACACGATGACTCAACAACAACACAAAGAGATGAAAGGAAGAATATGAACTCATTTGACAGATATGTTCAACATGTAAAACTATTTTCTTGTTGACATTTACAGTATATTAAAAACAAACAACTGAAATGATGTGAATCTTAGTTTTTATTCCAGCGCTTCTTCTCACTGGTCACAGCTTCTATGGCTTTTAAAAAGAAAAAGAAGTGTTATTGTTTAGGTCAAGAGTTTCTTAACCACTGAGCCAGGGACCAATACTGGGTCATTTGATACTTGGCCGCAGGGAAAACACAAATAATAAACACTATGTGCATATATCAATGATCAGAGCGAAATATATTTACTTTAAACAATGACGCCTTCTGACTGACAAACGTCTGAGGTACTGACAGTATGACAATGAATATCAGTGAGTACTTGTACTTTCTGACCCACTGGCAGTGGTGTGGTCACGTCCACAGATTTAAAGGATAAAATGATCAAAGTGAAGTTTGAGGGAAGTTCAACCTCAAACAAACAAAAGGATGTTTTCACCATGCTCCTTGTGTTACTCCATCACACCCACAGAGGTCGGTTGATTAAAGGAGAGGAGCAGACAGAACCACAGCAGAGAAGAACCTCCATCTGCATTTCAAAGCTTTTCCTTCAGTCGTGTCTCTGATTTCACCACCATGCTGTAGTTTATTAGTGTTGCTGTTAACTCAGGTTTATGTTCTGTTGTGTTTCCCACTGTCTGAAGTTCACAATTTTAATATGTTTCAAATTAAAACATGTTTCAGAGACTGCACTGTTATTTACTGACATGGAGTGTTGATGCTACACATATTTACCATGAAGCTCCATTTTTTTTACAATTATGTTTCTCAACCAACACAATATGTTAAGTAATGCCCTCAGAAAGAACCTACATTTGTCATTTAAAAGGAAATGAATGCAGTAACAGAGCAGTAACTGCAGTTGACCACAGAGCCTCGTCACTCACCATACTGACTGGTTTTGTACACTTTGTTTAGTAGGAAATGAGCGTACTTATCTTTAAATTTCACTTGCAGGTCACTCACTGCCATGACTGTTTGTGGTTTAGTCTGAATGGAAGTGTGAATGGCTGCTCTGTACATATGATGACTGTAGGCACTGGCTACAGCTCCCCATGATCACTAAAAGGACTCAGTGGTAGAAGATAAACAAGTCTCACTGATGAATGGATGTTGGACAGGACATCTTTCTGTTACCACTGCACAATTGATAGAAAAAGAATGTCATTTAACGCAGCTGTTCCTCCATTCTGGCATCTAGGTGTGTGCCTGATCGAAGTGTGAGTAATAAAGAAGTTCGTTAACAGAGACAGGAAGTGCGTCCTCAGACAACAACAGCAAAAACACAGAAGACTGACGTGACCTTTAACCTTCCTCCAAAGGCGGAGCTAAATCCTGGATACAACATCCTGGCAACTGGGCGACTACTTTGTTGCTGAGACACCAGTGAACTTCCTGTAACTGTCTGACCATATTTCACATGCCGTACTTCCTGATGTGAGGTCACGGGTTCTCTTCCTCATCACTGCCCTCCTCCGTCTCCTCTGAATGTTGTGTTTAGTGTTGTATGTTTGTGGTTAAGACTCCAGGCAACCATCATGGGAGCAGTTCTGCTCCCCCTCCACTTTTGTCTTCCTCTTAAACTCACCCACCTTTACCAACTCTCCTGTCTCACCCATCTTTGCCCTCTCCTCCCTTCCTCCCATTCTCCCATTCTATGCAACAGTAAATCTACACATTTGTTTCCTTATCAGGGGCGTTCTCTGTTTTTTGTTTCATTCATTTAGGTGGTTGGACTCTGCAGATCTGATGTGTGTATGAGTGTGAGTGTGTGTGCATGTGTGCGTGTTTGTGTGTCGGGGCAGCAACATTGTTCAGTGCTGCATGTAATCACCAAAAACCAGACTATTTCCTGCCCTATATTAGAGAAAGTGTTTGCGTGTGACTGTGTGTGTGTACGGAAATGTCTATTTGTGTGTGTGTGTGTGTGTGTGTTTTCATCAATCCAGACACTGTGTGTTGGCCTTGTTAAAATTGAGTGTTTTACGACACTAGAACATGTTCCTGTAGGTTTGTGTGAGTGAAGTCCGTTATAGAACACTGCACAAAATAGTAGCTGTGTATAATTACAGATCATTACTGTGTGTGTGTGTGTGTGTGTGTGTGTGTGCGTGCGCGCTGAAGGCAGGAAGTCACAGCTCAGAACAGTTTCAGTTTGATGAAGCCAACAGTACTGTAGTCAATCCCCAAAATGTCTGTTAGGTGTATTTAGGATGAGTTCACATTAACCTGTGTACTCCTATAAGAGTACAGGTCTCACCTAGTCTTTCAGCAGTTAACAACTGCTCTAAATTTAACATGCTGCCTCACCATCACAGTTATCACAGTTATCACTGTTATCACTGTTATCACTGTTATCAAGAACCACAGTGAAGCAGCTCCCACACTGCCCCTGTACAACTATGACATCATCATTACACCACCAAGCCCAGGGTAAAACAGATTCAAATACTGCAGCCTGTGAACGGCTGCCACAGACATGCCGTTTTATTTACAGATGAACTTCATGTTTAAAAATGCAGTCAAATCAACCTTGATTAAGGTTCCACAACCACATACACTCTGACACCCTCTAATCGAATCCAAAATAAACTAATCTAATCTAATCTAATTAAATCAACCAAGTGGTGCAATGTTTTCTCTTCACGTTCTTACCTGTTGAACTGGGCGATCGCTGACAGCCACGGCGTGACCCCTCAGGCATTGTGTGCTGATGTCACAGGAAGTAGAAACCTGGTAGACAAATGAATAAGTAAAGGATCATCTTAAAGAAGAACACACACACACACACACACACACAAACTTACACAGACCCAGTCCATTCTACAGGAGTAAAAACCCTGAGGACATATGTAATGTTTGGCGAGGGGACAAGAATGTGGTGTGCATGTGTGTGTGTGTGTGTGTGTGTGTGTGTGTGTGTGTGTGTGAATCCAACGGCCTCCTACAAAGTAACCGATACAGTACAGCCGAATGACCCAATTAGTCCATTGTACATGAAGCAGTGTTTCTGCAGCTGTTTGCAAAAACAGAGGGAAATATGTAGGTCATATCTGCGTGTGTGTGAAGGGGCAGTGGAGGGGCTGAAGGGTGGAAAACAATGCAGATTGCTGGTTCAAATCCCTCTGGTCTTGAATGAAAACACATGATCAGGTTTGAACCACTTTTATATTACAGAAAATCCCCAGAAAAAATTAAACACACTGGCAATGAGGACATAATCCCAACTTTTTACCATATGCATGATTCTGTAGCGTTGGGTTTAGGTCAGGAATCAAACAGGGGGAGGGGTTGGGGCAGAGAGAGAGAGGGAACCATAGAGATGGAGAGAGCAAGAAGGTTCTGTACTCAGAACACACACACTGTGGAACCGTGTGTGTTTACATTCTGCCTGCGTCAATCAGAGATGGGTGTTTATATGACATCACACAGGGAGAGGAAGACGGACCTCTCACAGAGGTCTCCATAACAAATCCACTCTCCTCATCCCAGACATACACACAGTATATTGACACAAACACACGCCATCACTCCATCACAAAATGTCATTTTCATTTTCATGTAAAACATGAAAAACTACAAACCAAAATCGTTGATGACGTCCAAGCTGACTCACTGTATTTAAATGAAAACAAAGGAAAGACAAACTCCTTGAGGTCCAATTAGAACCAGGATTCCATGACCTCTGTCAACAAACACTGTCAGCTTGAGACAAACCAGAGTCGATCTTCACTTGAAAACTTCATTCAGAGAAAGTCTTGAGGAACACACACACACACACACACACACACGGCCTCAGAGGGATAGAAGATAATCTCACTTGTGTCAGTGAAGGTTCTCATGTATAATAACAATGGCTCCAATCACTGTCAACCACTTACTGAAGAGAGTGTTAGTGCCATCGCTCTGACTGAGAGTTGGTCAGTTGGTCATTGGTCCATAGTCATGGTCGGTCCTTGAACGTCTCAGTCACGTTCTTAGTCAGAGGTTTAGTCAACAGTTTGGGCCACATAGTGGAGCGAACACACCCACTCAACACCAAAATACACACTGTGGTTAAGAAGTTGATGGACTCTGTAGTGCAATGGACAGCACACCTTCCCCCTGGGGGGGCGGGGTGAGGTTTCAGGGGGCCACGAGTGGCTTCCAATATGGCAAACTGGACATAAGTGCACCATTGCTGTAATGCTAGGTGGCAGCAACAGTGGTTTGTACAGATAGAAATATACATGTTATCAGGTTCTTAATAGTATTCCAATTTGCAGGGTTGTGGGTCAGTCGGGGGGCTGAAAACATTTCTGTCCCCTAGAGGGAGCAAGACAGAAAATAACTGAGAACCACTGTGACCATCCCCATGTGACCGACAGGCAGACAGACGTCCGACTGGACTGAGACGGAGTCTCAGTAAGAAAAGGTGAGTCAATCTGATCTATTTAATTTGACCATAAAATCATTTTATGTAATTGTTTGACCAATGAACATTCCTGCACTGTTTATGTGGTTCAAACCAGGTGTTAACATGTGTACATTCCCTTCATGAATCACCGTGTACTTCCCTTCTCTCTCTCTCTCTCTCTCTCTCCATTCCAGTGCTCCCATAAAAACCCATCATCTGTAATTTCATTTCTTTCCATTTATTTGGGAAATACACACGTACACAAACACACGCACAAAAATACTGTAATCTTATTCTGACAGCTCAGCGCTAACTGTGTGTTAGTAATAGTCACACAAAGGTTATAAAACATACTGGGAATTTCCAAACACACACACACACAGCCACTGATGACAGTTTTACAGCTTCACCTCGATTGTTCAGTCTGTCCACTGAGAGGTCTCTGTAAAACACAAGTCTGAGAGTTTGTGTGTGTGTGTGTGTGTGTGTACTTGAAGCCGTTAAAACAATAATGGTCTTTTCTGTTTCTGTTTGTCTGTTGTTTTGTTCATTGTTCAACTCATTGTGTTTGTGTTTGTGTCTCTGTATCGGTCGCTGTATCGGTCGCTCTGTCCAGACTATGTCCAGACTATGATGGAACAAACTGCTCAACTTTTATTTCCTTCAAGTCATCTCAAATCTGAAACTTCCTCACTTTCCTCCTAGGCCAACTTTTATAATCACAAATAAATTATTATTATCCCCATCTTTACAAAATGTTTTCATCCTCTCCCCCGCCAACTTTACTGGAGGAATAAAGATCAGTGAATACCACAGCAGAAGAACCTCATGTAGATTTAAAAGTTTGCTTACAGTCAAGGGTCAGAGGTCACAGTCTGGTGCATTCTTCTTCTGTTACATAAGTTCTTGATATCAGGACAATCTTCTTCTTAGACGCTATCTAAACAATATTAAAGTCCCTCCTGGAACGTGTCTCCAGACAGTAGTAATAACTCTGAATAGAGCAGGGTCTGGTTTCTAAGTGGACTGAGAAAGAACCACAGACTGGCTGCAACGGTGAGCAGAGCTTACTGCCCAACACGTTATATGTCTAGATCACTCTAACTGCTGTAGCGGCTGTAGGACTGCTGGGAGAACTCCCGTATCGCACTGAGCACTCTCTATCCCTACACCCTTTTTTTTTTCCCCCCTGAAGTTGATGACTGCATCTAATCTCTGAGTCTGGATCTGCTGAAGATTTCTTGAATGAAAGATTCTTAAACAGTTTTAGGCTTTTGTCTTGTTAATGTAATTATTCTATGTTTATATCATGGTTATTGGGGAATTTTATTATAGTTTACCTGTTTGAACTATTCAGATCAGATTGTGTTTTACTGTCAGAATAAGATAAAAATAAAGAAGGATAAATTTGTGTGAGTGTGTCTGTTTGCGTGCAGTGAGCCACGCCATGAGCACAATGGAGACAGCAGGATAACAGTGAGCAGCTATTGTGACAGCGAGGCTCAGCCTGATTTAAACACACACACACTAGCCGCCAATGCCAGTAGTAATGAAATCATAACTGAACCCACTGAGTTAATATTCTTAAAAATCAAAAACACATGTTGACATTGTAATAATGCTGTTCAGTTTAATTTTTGAGCTAAATTTACTCAGGATTAACTTGTCATAGAGAAAAACAAATGACATCAACAAAATCCATGAATGGAATTTCAGTTTGGTCATTGTTTGATTTCTTAAACTCACTTACTGTAAGTGAAACACACACACAGTGGTCCAGGCTAAACAAACATGACATTGTGTATAAACCTTAGTGTCTGTGTGTGTACAAATCAATAATCAACTATTGTCCTCCTACTGACATTGCTTAAAGTACCCACTTCAATCAAGATCACAGCTCACATGGACATTCAGACAAGTGTCCAATGACGGCGTCCCACCTGAGTCTGTCATTGACTGGTGGTGTCAAATCAAATACTGCCCACTCTACTATGGACATATTACTATTTAAAACCTACTCAGTTTATCAGAATCTAAAAGGAAGTTTACGTGTGTGTTTATGTTGTTTACTGGATCCCTCTGAGGCCTGAAGCACTGCGGTATACATGTGTCGCCTGAGTCTCTCCCTTTCTCTCTCTCCTACACACACACTCACACACGCACATAGCCGTTGCGGGGCTCTAAAACCACAGACTATGATAATTATTATAAATGACAAACACTGGTCACTGAGGAAATCGTCCTTCCACATCCCATAATTATCCTGAATATTAAACCAGCGAGCACATATTTGAAATAATTGGGGAACATTTGATTTGTTTGCCTGAAATCAATGTCTCCATGTGTTTCCAGTCTGCAGAGGGAGAGAGAGAAGACAGAGAGACACTGACACTGAACTGTTGGTTTTCAGCAGCCTGTAGGAAATGAAACGTTAACGTTGCCTGAACATGTTTAAAGATTAGAATGGTTTAATGTGAAAAACATCCCCTTGTCCTTAATCCTTCCATAAGTCATTCCTCTGCTATTCATTCCTCCCACTTTGTCCTTCTTCGTTTTTCTCCTCCATCCATTATCTCTTCTTCATCTCCTTCCTCTCAGTCCTGTCCAGCAGAAACACCATCTATCCTCCAACCCTGTGTCATTCATCTGCTACACTTTCATTCTTCATCCCTTCATCACATCCTCATCTCTCCTTTATTCTGTATGTTTCCATCCTTAATCACTCATCACTCAGCTCATCTTTCTGTACAACTCCATTCTTCATCCCTCCATCATACCGTCATTCTTCATACCATTTATAAATCCCCACCCTTGTGTCTTTTGTTCTTTATATCAACAGATGACAACAGCTAAACACACACACACACACTGCTGTCTTAGACCGTTACCTTTACCCTCACCTAACTTTGACTCAAATAAATGGTTAATCCTAAACCTAACATTTAAACAACCAAAACTCCTTCATTACACTAGACCAATCACAACTACGTCTTGAGATGACGAGACAAAGACACAGAGACAGTCAGGTGATGAGACAAAGACACAGAGTGAGTTAGGTGATGAGACAAAGACACAGAGTGAGTTAGGTGATGAGACAAAGACACAGAGACACTCAGGTGGTGAGACAAAGACACAGAGTGAGTTAGGTGATGAGACAAAGACACAGAGACACTCAGGTGGTGAGACAAAGACACAGAGTGAGTTAGGTGATGAGACAAAGACACAGAGACAGTCAGGTGGTGAGACAAATACACAGAGTGAGTTAGGTGATGAGACAAAGACACAGAGACA